TGGCGCCAGAAATCTTCCGACAGAGGGGCTGGAGCTTCCGACAGGAGGGCTAAAATGACTAAATTAAGCAGTTTTCGTACGTTATTTTGTCAAATTTGCTTCGACAATAGCCTAAAATTGGGGGGGGGGGGGGGCTAGATGCTTCCGACGGAGGGGCTGTAGCCCCCCCTAGCCCTCCCCTGGCGCCACCACTGGGTGTAGGGATGCCTTTACCTTTATCATGACCATAGAAAATAGAAGAAAAAAGTTTATTTCTTTTTGTACTGACTGGGTCATTGCCAAGGTCAGGTTCATGAATAGGCAACATTTAATTGTTTTGATGTCAAGTATGTAAACCAGTAGTATGCCCATAGGTAATATATAGTTGATTGCCTCTCTATGATGGGTAACTGTGTGGTGCAATGCTAAGGATTTACAGTCTTTAAAATCTTCAAAAAAACAAATTTGATGATGTCCAACATAGTTAAAGAAACAATAATAATTATGATAATATTACAGTAAACATATATTTCTATTTCTTCTTCTTCTCTTTTCCCTTTTTTGATGACTGGCTTATTGTATCAGCAGCGGCACCTTTGGCTTGCCTTGATTTTAACTTTGGAATCATTTCACCAAGAAGTATCATTAATGACTCTCCTGAAAAAGAAAGTTTCTGTGAGTCAATAGGAAACAAATATCATTCGGTTATGATGCAAAATATCTAAGAACATACAGGAAGGTAAAAGTCTTAATGGGTTAAGCAGATCCTTTTTGTGGGAAAACTGGCAGAAAAACTGCTTGAATAACTAACTATTTGCAAAAGAAAAGCTCTGCTATATATTGCCAGGGTTTGATGATAGGACAACATCAAGGAACACAAGGAACAAGCTTTGCTTCAAAATTTGTCAAACATAAAACAATTTGTCTAGCATTGCTCCATAACACAGCATCATTGTGTTACAGTTTGTTACAGCTACCACAAACTCAAAAACAAAAACAAAAATTCAAAAAAACTTGATTCCTACAGGAACAATATATAAAAAGAAACAGCAAAAAAATAAAATGAAGCCCTCAAATGAGGCTACTCACGTGATGGATAATTTGGGTTAAAGAGTGTGCCATCAGAATTCTTTAGTTGTATTCTTACTCTGCCTTTACATAGAGCATCTTTGGCACTATCTCTTGGATATTGCTTTTGCTACAAATGAGTTTTCTGGTCATTTCTAATTTCATCACAGAAAAAGAAATGTTCAGTTACTTATTTGAGACTAGGAATTAGGTACCTGAGACATATGGTATGGGCTGGAGAGGCGATTGCCCCTCTTGTTAGTAAATGGCCCTGAGATGAAAAGGTTGGGAGAACTAATGACCAAGCCTACTTAGATTGGGGGAAAAGGGAGCAATTGCCCCTGAGCCTGAAAGCAAAAAGGAACCTCCTGGCAATAAAACTGTACCTTTTCAAAATATGTCTCTGAATAACATGGTAATTACACATCATATCTGTACTGGACTTCAAAATGCTTTAAGAATATAAATTAAAAGTAAATAAACAAAATTCTATTCAGTTTAAATCCATATTAAACAATTTTGGGCATTGCTTTGGGTAGGCAAGTATTTTGGGCAAGCATTTGGCCTGCCCCTGGGCTCAATGTTGCTCTCGGTGGTCCTGCAAATAGCCACTAACAACCCAAGGAGCAAGGTAAGACAGTCCAAAAAGGGAATTATGCATCATCAAAAAACAATTTGTTATCATATAATTATCGCCAAAAATTGTTTAAAGATTAAATTTCTGTCAAAAAATTCAATATACCTCTTCAACAATACAGTTAAATCCATGATATTGTAGAACATCTTTCATTTCATTGCATCTTGGATTGTCTACTCCCTGAAACATGCAATTTGAACATCTTATAACCATTTCTAAGGGTCTTCTACTCACAGATAAAAATTTGGAAGCAAAATATAATGTAAGATAAAAATTTGTAAGCAAAATATAATGTAAGATTAGGCAATATAATTACAAACTCTACAAATGTGTGATGATAAAATACTTTATAATACCATTTACAAAACCAAAACAGATCTCATCACAGCATACAAATATTTGTATAGATGCTTGTGAAACCTGTGAAAAGGCTTAACTGCATTTTTAGTTTTCAAAAGAAATCCTGATTACAGTATATTTAATTTATAAATAGTTGATGAGAAGAACAAATCTACAACAAACTACCAATCAAAGATTCAACAAAAATTCCTTTTCACAGAATTTCCATTGAGTAGAACACTAAAGTAAAGTTATGACTTGTATCATTGTAAGATTAAATACTTACTTTTGACTTTGCTATTTTTCTGCCATCTTTTATAGTTTTTCGACTGTTCAAAAAGTTTGGGTACACAACAATCCACCTAAAAGAAAATTTAGATTGTTAGGAGAAAATTTACAGTTCAAATTGATTTAATACTTGACCAATATCAACCTAATTCCATCCTGCGCTGAAAGAAGAAGTTGATGGTACCTATGTCTAAGGAAAAAACAACTATTTACAATAACTGCTTGAAAGGGTACTTTTGGACCATTTTAAAACAACAACAAAACAACAGAGTTAGAAAAATACCCTTTGCAGAAACTGTTTAGGAACATATATATAAATATATCGTGTTGGTCAAAGTTATGTTGTTTTCTGTTGATCAAATATATTTAAATTATCCAGAAGTCTATGAGTGGTTGTTCTAAGCAAAAGAGTTATACATTTTCAAAGACCTGAGCATTGATTTCAAAAACAAGTTAACTGCACAAGATGCTCTGGAAAGCAATTCTAAAAGTCATTCAATTGCAAAATTGCATCTTTTCCCGCATGTTACCCTTTTACGGTCTACCACTATTGAGGTGCTTGTGAGGGATATCAAATTAAAGTTGATGATGTTGTTAAAGCACATTACTGGTTTGAATCCATTGAACTCTATGTCAAACAAGCTAAATGCGAAAATTAATCCAGAGAAATGTTGACTCTGGGTGTTGCATAATCATACATACTTATCTTTCATTAACATTTTTTACATATTTAACATTATTTTACGAATTAACCACCTGATCGACATTGCCCATGCTGTCAATTCAATTTCACATCGAACATATCTTCACAAAGATGTTTAAGATCAGTTAGATAAGACTTTGAAAGATAAAGCTTGCATAATTTTACATGAGCTATAGGGTGAGTTGCACTTTAATCGTTCTTTACAGGACTTTCAGAAGATCAATCGAAGGCAGGGCTTGTTTTTGTCTTTGGCCTTTTCTCCTTGCGAAAAGAGACTTGAGCTTTGTCGATCTTGGCCTTTGCTTTTTCAAAGAATAGCAAAATTTACATTGTGTCTGATGTAGCAGCTTCGACTTAATGTTTAATTTTGCCCCTTTTGTTGCACCAGATTCATAAACACGCTTTGGATTGGAATTGAAAGACATTATAAAATGGACACAAGAACATTTGATCAATGCATCTGAAAACATTAGTGGACTTGAAAGATAAACATTTTCAAACCGTTTCATTGAGGAAATCAATTAGATTAGATTTTAGATATCTTTGATGTCCTTATAAACTAAATACAAAATTTTATAACGATATGGACAAGCATAAGAGGAAACCTAAATGATATTCAACATCTAACATCATTATTATGTGATTGCTCACAAATCATATCCCATCTGACACTCATTTTAATGCTGCTGTGAATGCTACAAAAACACAATGCTGTCATCCAAAAACCCTTTTTACAAGAAACTTATTTTGGGTCCCTTCAGGGCGCAAATGTTTGGGGACCCTTAGTTTTGGTTTTGTGCTTAAAGGAGCTCACTGTGTCTTACGCCACTGACTAAACTTGAGTTGGATGTAAGAGATATATGCCGTCATCCTTTTTCACAGGACTGGACAAAAAGAGTAATACAATAGGGGATACAATATAAATCTAATTCATAAATTGTAAAAAAAGGAAGTACAAAATCAAGAAAATGTTGTTGACAGATAATATTGTTCAAAAGTTTATTTATAAAACAACAGAGGCAGTGGAAATTGCCAGGGCCCCAAACTATTGGGGAAATTCTGTGATTTTGGCTCTCACTACTGAGGAAGGCATTGGGCCCACTTAGGAATTTGCCTCAGTAGCTACACTGCTAAAAAATACTCTGATTGTGGTTTAGACTGGCTGTTCTTATTTCTTCCCAAACTTTAAGGCTTGATAAAACTATGAAATCAACACATCTTTATCAAATATTGTCCCTCTATTGTCTGTAAAAAAACTTTGCCATTTATTTTTACATATGATATAAAACTGTTTTATTTTATCTGGACTTCCCTTGCTAAAATGTAGGCCACTAAAATTTGTCCAGTTTTGTTCTTGACTTGCTGTGTCCTGACTCATTCCAGTCAAAGTACCATAATTGATTCTTAAGTGCAATTTTGTTAGGTATTCACTGTGTTAAGTATCTTTTAAAATATAACTTGATGTTTTATATTTCGTTAATTTTTGGTTAATTTTTAAACCCATATATATACTGTAAGAAACGTAGGAAAATCTGAAAAGAAAATTTTGTTTTTCTATGGTCATTACATTTCCAAAATTAAGCAAATATTGCTCTTGAATGAGTTTACCATCGAAAATTATCGTTGAGGATCCAAGAATGATTGAGCGTTACATTGAATTCACCCTGGACGAATACAAATACCCCTTCCTTTGCCTTGGGTTTTCCGTGTGTATCTACCCACCCCCCTCTGGCTAGGCCTAGAATTGTTACCCTGCTATGTTCCTGATCAAGGATTAGAAATACGACCTTAGAATGCTTTTCTCCAACTATCGTTATTATCAATTTACCTAATAAAGGCAAAATAGGGATGAAATATGAAGGGTACTTCACCTGCTTTCATTACTCGGGTCTGTTGTCAAATGCGCCATTTTTGATTGCTGGTAATGAAAACGAGACTTTATCTAATTGGATCCTCTGAATCACGTGGCAAACTCAGGCCTCGAACTAAAACATTCCTTCTTTGACAAAACATTTTGCAAGAAAGGATGACTTCTCTAAAACCATTTGAGCACTTTGCTACTAATGCAATCCATGCGGGGCAAGATCCCGAGAAATGGAACTCACGTGCCGTTATTCCGCCGATTTCAATGGCGACTACATTCAAGCAAGACAATCCCAGCGAGACACATGTACGTATTCTTGTTTTCGCGAATGAAGGTGGAACGAGGGTGTGAAACAATAGGCTATGCAGTGGTGCACAGTTGAATCATAGCCTTACGGCTTTGGTTGGATTGAAAGCTCGCTGTCAAATTCGACCCGCTTTGTATCAGGGTAATGTTATGATCATATATATATATATAATTGTTTGTTATTATGCCAAAGTATTTTAACGAACAAACCGGGGCACCGGCTTTTTCCAAAGTATTTTGACGAAGTTTCAAATCAAAAATCAAATCAAAACTTTTTTCAGCAACAAATCAATTATTTACAAGATACGTCATGTTAGTTGTTAAGATACAATCATTAACAACACTAAAGATTACATTACAAGGAACAACATAATATATTTTATAAGATCAGCTGATGGACACTTAGAAAAAACTCACGAAGGAGCTATCAGAGCCATGTGCCCAATTTGACGCGAAATGACGATAATTTAATATTAGTTTTGTTTGAATAATAACAGTAAGAATAAAAAATAACAATTTAAAAAGAAAAACAGAAATCAAATAATAATGGTTTACAATATGCACAAATAGTTCAATTGTGTTAGAATGGGAATAAATAGGACTAAAGGTTCTCTAGAAGGTAATTTTTCATATTTCTTTTGACATGAGGTTAAATCGGATTATCAAAACAGGATTCTTCACCTTCGCCGGACTAGTTCTCATATTTCATGAAATTTTGACCATAATGTTTGAGAAGCCCAGAATTAATACAAACAAGGAGATTGAAGAAAATTCAGACTTGTTGTGATTTGATAAATGATTTTTTAAAATAATCATAAATTTTCCTGTAAATGAGATAGCTTTAATCAAATTTCTAGACACACACAAAATGTGCAGGTGGTAAAACACTTCATAACAACATATATATCTTTGAAAATGAAAATTTTACCTTGAAATACAATAAAGGTTTACCAAGTTTCTGTTCTGAAAATTGCAGGAAATTTCAAAGTATATGATTGGCTTGGTCTCGTAGGTATTTTCTACTGAATATGATAATTTATTGTTTATATAAAGCATCTTTTGTTTTATACTTATATTAAACTGAATGAATGTGTGATAACTTACTTTAGGGATATGATTATTCAAGAAGTGGGAACCCAACAAGGGAATGCTTTGAGCAGTGTGTAGCAGCAATTGATGGTGCTAAATATGGTAATTCCTCATTCTATATTTAATCAACAATTTTTGGATTCTATTTTACAGTGAACATAGTACCTGCGAAAGCCAAGCAAAATTTTTGTACATATGATGATTTCAATGATTTGAAAATTTTTCAATGGCAGACACCTGAAGGGCAAGGGGGTTTGCCTTCCCCAGAATTTTGGAGGACAATGTTCTTTTGTTCTAAAACAAAGGGGAAATCTTTTCAAATTAATAGGCTTGCCCCACCCCTCCAATATTTGACATTGTTTCTGCCCTTGCAATTTTCACTGTATGAAAAATACTTTGATATCAGTTAGAAATCAATTGGCATGCTATTAAGTCATGGAAAAAGTCTGCAACTTCTTATTGAAATAATTATATTAATTTGCATGTTATTACTGGCAAAGATGAAGTAAATCTTTTGACTTTGTCAATTGGTATTGATCATTTGTTGTCAAAGATTTTTGCTTGTTGAAGAATTTGTAAGAAATTTGGCTAAATGACAGGCAAATAATCATTTTTAGGACTTGCATTCTCATCTGGACTTGGAGCAACAACCACCCTGATGATGATGCTTAGTAGTGGAGATCATGTGATTGTAATGGATGATGTTTACGGAGGTTAGTTTAGTTAGTCTGTTAATGGATAATCTGTTATTTATTCCTAATACAATTTTACTTAAATTCCTAGCTATATGTAAGTTTAGTTAGATGCAATTTTAATTAGAATGAAGACTGTCATGATATGGAAACAAAATCAAATGAAATCGAAAAATAATTGTGACATGGCCACAAAAGTTAAATGGTTGTCAAACATTGCAAAGACTTGAATCAAGGACTAAATTTAAATACGGTATTGATTAAAATGATATGAAAAACTGGAGGTATGGAAATTTCATTTGTGTTGCATCCCAAGTGAACTAAGCTTGATTCTATGTTTTTCAACGAGCCTTGTATATCTGCAATTGTTGAATTTAGTAAAAGGTGGTGGAAGGTGCAAACATATGTACAACATGATTCAATTATAAGGAACAAATGCTTAATGGTCAATTAAATGCAATGCAATAAAGTACCAAAAATTGAAATGTTTCTTGATCATTTCACTTAGATGTTTACATTTATGGTCAATTTGTGGCACTTTTTTAACACATGGACTGCTTTATATTTGCCTAATTATATTTACTCAATTTTAATTTTTGTATTTTTGAGGTAAATTTTGTATTGAATTTTTTTGAGGTCAAGACATACAAGGGACCCAAGTTCCTGTCCTTGATAATTTTGCAACAGCATAAGAAAAGATGCAAGGCATGTAAAATAAAAAACATGGCACAAAAAGTGCCAAGTCAGGGTGTGCCCCTTTGCCATCATCAAGTAGGACTCCATTTTTTAATAGCCCCAGTAGCATGTGACATCATACAAGGTAATAAAGATAAAGAACATAAAGACTTAAAACATAAAGAATCTCAAAATCAATAGACAATTTTTCATGTCATTTAAAGTAACTTTTTATCATAGGAACAAACAGATTGCTTTCAAAGGTTGTTGCCAATCACAATATTGAGTTCAGTTTTGTTGACTGCAGAGACCTTGGCTTACTTGAGAAGAGCATAAAACCAGGAAAAACAAAGGTAATAAATTATATTTGCACACCAACAAAATAATATTTGTTCATGGTTATGCTATATTAATACTACTCATTGCAGTGTATAAAAACTTAATTTAAACATCAGGCAATGCTGATATGTGATATTATACTAGTAGGTTAGGATAATGACAGGCTGACTTCTTTTGAATACAGCTAAAAGGCTGATAAGGAAGCTACTGGGGCAAAAGTAATTATTCACTTAGGGTCATTGATCAAGAATTCAAAAGTATTACCAATTCACAAGCAAAAGTATTATCTGTTTATCCTCTCTTTGATCCCTCAATTGAAGCATGTAAAAAATTATCACAGGAATAATTTGCTTTGAATGACAGTTAATTTTCTTGACACTGCAAGCCGTAAAATCTGCACAAATAATGTAGTGTAAGATTAAAATTTTTGTTTGATACAGATGCTATGGATTGAAACTCCAACAAACCCAACCATGAAAATAGTTGATATTGAAGGTGCATGCAAGATAGCTCGCAAGTTTGAGGTATGTATGGACATAAGTAGCTTTTGAAGTTTCATCTTGTAACCATTACTCTCAGAGGAAACATAAAATATCTTATACATATAATCTATAAAAGGAGTGTAGAACAGGACAGTTCTAAGTAACTACTCAGAGTTTCGTGCTTAATATGATCATCAGGCAACTGTGATAGCATTAAAGGGCTCAAAAATAAGCAAAATCTGAGTTACTAATTATGATTATAAAATTACTTTAACCTGAGTCACTGTCACTTGAAGAGAGAAATAACTCTCTATGCTGAGAAAATATATTTAGGTATTGTTTAATTTGTCAATGGATGAAAAAATGTTTTGTCAGTCAATACAAAATCTCAAATTAAGAATCTTGTAAGTTTGACCAGGAGTTGAGCCTCAAATTCTGCAAGCTATGTTTTCTTAAAAGGAAATACAAATAATGTATGGTATTGCAAAATACAAATTCTGATGATGATTTATTAAACATAAAAAACACTGAAGCTAAAAAGATACAATAATGATGTAGTTTTTCATGCTTAAGTTTAATAAATGTTATTGAATTCTAGGGCATAACTGTGGTAACAGATAATACTTTCATGTCACCATATTTCCAAAGACCTTTGATGTGGGGCTCGGACATAACTTTCCATTCAGTTACAAAGTATATCAATGGTGATTCTTTGAAGCAAATTTTTACTGTAATGTAATGTGTATAAGTTACCTGCTGTAAAAATTGTGGTAAAGTTTTTAAGGTTAACTTTTGAGGGATATAATGAACAGATTGTTTAACAGCAAACTAAACAATAGGATAGTACTGTGCAACTTGAACAATTATTGAAGCCAAAGGACTGCTATTTTTACTTTACTTAGTGTTCAACGCACATATTTTGAAAGGAGAAACCAGGGAACATTTGTTGTTAATTAACTTGGCAAAATTAGATCCGGTGTATTAGACAGTTTTGTTTTTAGGCCCCAAATTTCTGACTTAAAAACTTGACTTATTCACTAGACATATTCATCCCTTCAGTGTTGTTATGCTAATAAAACATAACAATTAAGCCAAGCTAGAAAATAATGCTTTTCTCATCACAATAGACAACACAACAATATTTTAAATTTCCCAGCACATTATCTTTGCAATGGTATTGATAACTAGCAACTTTTATTCCTAACTGATCGCTTTTGATTCAGGTCACAGTGATGCTTGCCTTGGAATGATATGTACAAGCAATGATGAATTGTTCCAAAAGCTCAAGTATTTGCAAAATGGTGGGTCACATTTTCACATATAACTTAATGCATAACATTTAAGGCTCATTTACATTACCAAAAGTGTATTGCTTGTGAGCGATTTGCTCGAAGATATTTTGCATTTATTGAAGTATCACTCCTCTTAGCACATGCTCTTACCATCATCTCTCACAAACCCAACATAAATGAGCAGCTGAACCCAGATACGTAAGTGGGTGGTTCCTAATTAATTTAGTGACTGGCCAGTCAAGATCTTTTCTGTGTATTTCAGTGCTTTTTAATGCGAATAGATACATTTCTTTCAACCAAACACATATTTTTAAAAGTGCATTTTTTGAAAGAAAAACTCTTTTCTAAAAGATGTCCACAAATTGCATATAGTCCATGTATATTTGTTTAAAGCGTTAACAGTTTTAAAATGAAAACTGACTTATTAAAATGAAAAGTTGTAAAATTTTTGGATTTGTGTATATTTTAGTACAGTTGATTGGTATGAGGTAATATTACAGGAGGATTCAGTTGGTGCAAAGCTGGATTATACATCTGATAAGATTCTTATTATGCCGTGAACTAAAGAATCTCTGAACTTTTAATTCTAACTTATTACATGATCTTTTTTAGCTGCTGGATGTGTTCCAAGTCCATTTGATTGTTATCTTGCCAACAGAGGTGTAAAAACACTCCATGTTCGTATGAAACAACATCAAGAAAATGCACTTGCAGTAGCAAAGTATCTAGAAGCATCCCCAAGAGTGAAAAAGGTCATATACCCTGGTAAGTCAGCCTGATATGATACATTCTTGCACATTACCTGTGTTTATCTTACATATTTACCTGTGTGTAAAATTTATTTAAGCAAAGAAAGGCAAAGAAACAAGTTATAACTGACTGAGTTCTCAGAGAATAGTGTAAAAAATGTAAACGATGTAGATGGTCCATGAGAATCAGTCATTTCAGTATGTTAAAAAAGTTCCACAATGTTTGAACATTTTTCAGGTTTGCCAAGCCACCCTCAACATGAGCTGGTGAAGAAACAGTGCACTGGTTTTAGTGGCATGTTGTCTTTTGATATTCATGGTGATCTACAAACATCACGGACATTCCTTTCCTCGCTTAAGGTACTTTGATGTTTCATACAGTTGATACTACTTAATTTGACAAACTATAAGGGCTCTCAGTTGCCAAGAAGCCTTTAGGTATTTACACTGATATGTTCTAAATGATATTTCCATTACATAGGCATGGTTGAATCACCACTCTGTTATCGAAACACCTAACCAACCAAATCAAAAATGGTTCCCACAAAAATTCAAAGATGTTTTTAATTGCTCTTGCCAAATAATATTGTCCAATGCCATAACAATTTTGAGTGCATGAAACAGACATATTGCAAAACTAATTTAAGTAATAAAATAGTTTCAAATTGATGATTAACTAAATTCTAGTTAGCACTTTTGAAAAAATATAAGAACAATTCAGGTATTGTATAAAGGCATTGCTTCGTTCTTAAACAATAATTTTTTTTAGGTGTTTACCTTGGCAGAGAGTCTTGGTGGCTTTGAAAGTTTGGCTGAGCTCCCGTGAGTAATTTACAATTATTATTTGAGAAGATGTACCTTTAATTATAATAGGTGATTTATTTGTAGAAATCATGATTTTCTCAAAACATCAATTCACTTATTTGCATAATTATTCATTGTCTATGGCAAAGATCTCACTGGAGCATCGTGATTCCAACCAAGGGTGCCAATTTTCTAATAAATAGGGACAACCCGCTGTATTTTTAAGCTGCAGCAAACAGAAATAATTACAATAAAAATAAATAAAGAATGAAAAATTAGGACAATGAAATTTTTGCATTTTATGACATTTTTTCTTTATTATACAGGGCTTTCAATGGGGGGCGCTCGAGGGTGCAGGCACGCACCTGAGGTTAATTTTTAGAGCAATTAGTCACGCACCCAGTGTTTATAAATATTTCTCTTGAAGAGCGCGATTACTTGATAAAAATGTTCCCATTAAAATGATTCATTTTCAAACAACTCTGCTTTCAGTTGATAACTTTGAACATCATCATCAAATGTCTCCATTTTTCAGCATATCAATGGGAACCCAAAATCGAAAACTATAGTTCCTTTTTCATACGGACTTACACATTATTAATTGCCCTTTTTGTTTTATTTGCTAAAGCTTTTTCTGTCTGTTTTTTCCTTTAACTTTGCTGAACAGAATTGAAACTTCTTCACGTTTCTAAAGTCACTGGAACCTCTCTATGTCGCACAGTATCCTTCATGATTACTCATGAGGGAAACATGTAACATTGTCACATTTAATGATTCAATAGAAAAAACTTTGTTGCTCTGTGTTAACAAATAAATTTGATTTGCGCACTCCACTCTTATCACGCAAGTTTTTGGCTACGTGCGTTGATTTCTAAATGTGAAAGCCCTGATTATAAACAATGCTCCATTTTTTATTTCAGTGCTGTGATGACCCATGCTTCTGTTGATGCTGACCACAGAGCTGTCCTTGGAATAACTGACACTCTTGTAAGCATACTATTTTAACTCTCAATAATTTTATATTGTATTGCCTGTGGGTTTCTTATGTCATTTTTTAAAACTTAGATAATTATTACAGTTGTGAATTGAAATTTTTTTAAATTTGTATCTATATTTTTCTTCTTGTGATCTTGAAAGATTAGAGACAACAATCATGCTTTAAGACTTGAAAAAATCTCCTTATAGGTATAAATTTTCTATTTTCTCTTGTTCAACAGATTAGATTTTCAGTTGGTCTTGAGGATTCTGCTGATCTTGTTGCAGACGTTGACCAAGCATTGAAAAAAGCTGTAAGTATATGAAACATGGAAAAAACGAAAACTCTTGCTAAACAGGTCATTTTTGTCAGTACAATAATAATATTGTAGGCAAGTCTGGTTTTTTATTTACTGCTGGTGGTATAAATAAGAATGTAAGATTCTTTAAGGAAGATAAATGGTATTTCTAGAAAGGTCTTTATACCTGCCTTAGTTTCTCAAAGATTTACAATAAAAACCATCTAGGAAAAAATGTCTCCTTCCACCATGCCACCTGGCATCATGGCATGATTGTTTGAATTCTGGCATTATGCTGTGAAAACCAGACAGTATGTCAGAAATATTTATAGAACAGGACCTTACCCGATTTGAAAAATTATATTACTCTCCAATGTTTAATTAGGCTGACAATGTCCACGTATGTGATTTGGTCAATTATCATGTTTGACTAATACTAGATCTATTCTCTTTTAGATTCCAGATTCTGAACTAGCAAAACTGAAGTGAACATATATTTATTTATACAATTTTGTAGATGTGTCTAAGGAAGTCCTTCAGCTGACTGAAATTCATTCATTAGAAATTGATAACAAATAATGGGTTATTGTTAGACTCAAGGTTAAACCCTTTTATTTAATGTGATATGATGCAAATTTGAGAAAACCACTTTGTATTTGTTGTTGATCATTCTGTCATGTGACTTATCGTGTGATGCTGTGACGTGTTTAAAAATTTCTGTATCATACTACAGGCAATGAAAGTTATGATACAATGGTTTTCTTCGAAAACCAGTGACCTCAGCCCTAGAGACATTCTAGCATTCCACTCATGGTTAGCAGAGTGTGAAACCTACTTTTTTTTGGTTTTACGTTGAGGATAAAAAAATTTCAGACATCTGGATTTTTTGAGACAGTAGAACTGTAGAAGTATCCAAATTTTTAACAGTCCAAAATTCTTAATTTTCTTAAATCTTTAGCATCCATAATTCTTTGCACTATTTAAAAAATCACGGCAACAATTTTCATTATTCAAAAATAGAATGCTTTGCTCAAAAAGATTTAGGGCTAGATACTTAGTAAATCAATATAATATCATGTAAGCTAAAACAATTTAGCAATCACAGAACATTTTCATTATCCTCAATAATTATCATGTCAGCTTGTCTGTCTCATACTTTAATTGTGGTCAACATCAATATGTTTATTTTGTTCATTTTTCATCCAGCTTCATTTTGTCCACTTTGTCACTTCCTTGAATTAATGTCATAAGTTAGGCAAGATACCTTCACTTTTAATCAGCTATGGTGAACTTAGGGGGTTATCCTGGGATGATTGCAAAAGCTATTAAAATCATGGATATAATAAAAATGTGAATTCCCAATGAGCACACTTTATTTGCTGAATCAAGGGAAAAATAGACTTAAGTAAGCTTAATAAGGTATAATTTGCAATATATTTGAAATAAGAGTTTTTCATTTTTGTCTGAAATTTTTTTTAAATTTTTTGGCCAACAGTTTTTTGTCCAAAATATATTCATACAAATTTTTGGCAATCAAAATAGGGGAATTGTGGCTTAAAATATATCATAACATTAGATTGATTCATTTGATCTAGATCCTTTTGAATTAACATAACGTAAACATCTTACCAATAACAGTTAAGTTCAAATTAACAGCACTTTTAAGTTTAAGGGTAAGGTATAATTCATAAAATAAAGATGAAGATCTCCTTATAACCAAGTCAAGTAAATAAAAACACTGCTTGGGTTTGTTTTGAAAAAACTAGGCCTGAAAGGGAAAAATATCCTTATTCATTTGCCATTATATATTTTAATCCAGGTATCTATTTTGTTCTATTTACAGACATAAACAACAGAAATCAAGTCCTATAATTCTTGTTTTACCTTGGCATAATCTTCATCTTTTGAAGTGTAGTTCTTAGAGCATTTTCCAGTTGTGAATGCAGGGATACTTTTGTACTTTGCATGTCCAATCTTCCCTGACAAAGCTTGTTCAATGTATTGGTCCACTTTAACTGTCATTTCTTCAATTATGGCAATTGTGAAAAGATTTTTCTTTGGTCGCAGTATAATTACTACTGGAAGGTCACCAGCATAGATATCAAAAGCAAGTTCCAATTTTTCATTACAATTGATATCCACTTCATGTACCTCAATTGATTTGCCTACAAATTAACATAAAATATTCATCTGATCATAGAATGGAAATGTGCAAACCTGGCAAATTTGACATAGTGAGCCATATTAAAAAATAAATTAAAAGTATGCTACCCATGTACAGTTATTACACAAGACAAATTTTGTTGAGAATAAATCTTCATATCACTTCAGGTGTCAGTCACCTACAGTAGAAACCCTCATAAAAGAACCTAGGTTTTTTTCTGGCAACCTGAATAGGTTCTTAATTAACAGGCTGCTATTCTAAATTCCAGTCTAAAAGGTTCTTAACAAGGTTCTTATATATAAGGTTCTTATATATGTACAGCCCCTGCACACATTAACAATATTTTCCACCGCACAAATTCTAACAGACACATTTATACCAGCTGCGTTTTTCATGTAAAATTTCAACAAATCAAATTAATTTGTGTTGTTAATTTGTCCAATTAGAATGTAACATACCATAACCTAACTTACTCTGAGCTGGTGTAATTTGCCAGTGTGAATAGGATGGAAAAATACCTTTCTAAAAACCCTTTTTTATATGTATGTATATATAGCTCCACTGCAGTTTCTTGGTGGGACAAGAAATTTAGGATTTCATAAGCCCCACCTGGAATTTTAACACAATATTGAAAAGTTCTGCCATAATAATCCTGAACAATGGAACCAATCTTTGGTTGCAAATGAGCAATTTGTAACAGTGGTTGATCAAAAATTGATGATAATGTAGCAGAGCAATAATTTCATCATGTGTTTATGTTTGATGTCAGCAAATTCTGCACTGGCACAGGTAGAACAAGGCAGTAGATATAATTTTTAGATTAGATACAGTAGAATAGTTCTAAGGTAAGAGGGTTGCTCCCTGCTTTTCCCAGAAATACCCTCATTACTTTGCTTGCTTTTTTGAAGTCAGTCAAATTTACGTTTTTGGTTTATTTTAGATTTAAATTCTTTACATTATTAGCTAAATAGCTTAGTGGTTGAGAATCAGCTTGCAAGAAAACTATATCTTGTTTGCATTATGTATTTTCTGCTTAAAAGTAAAAGGCTTCATTGCACACTTGATATACATGTATGAAGGGTTATTGGGCAGTAAAAAACAAAGACCTGTATCAACGACCCTCGCATGGCTGAAAGCCTTTATAAGAAGCCATACGGACTTCAAAAATGTCAGATTGCTAAACAAAGTCAGGAAATCATTGATTTTTTAAAACTTCTTTGCATGCTTTGTAATAGCATTTAACACACAGAAATAATGTTATTGGGTTTAATTTAGGAACATATATTTGAAAAACATTTGTACCTATGAATACTGTGATTACCCTTGCCTGCAGCCTTTGTATGTTGCTAATCAGTATGTCTCAGTCAAAGGCGTCAGTAATTTTGAATTTCTAATTGACTAAAGCAATGACCAAGTAAACAAATCTCAAAATGTGAACCACCTTACCATGAGCTATGACTTTATTCTTAACATCACGAAGGCGCAAAATGATGTCATTCCAAAAACTTGCTTCTATTGCTTCAAGATCCTTTCCAATTAAGAGGATGCAAACATCAATATCACTATTGCATTTTGGTTGAACTTTAGCAGACTTTGTTGAATACTTTCTGTGAAAGAATAAAACATATAATTTTTTTCAAACTCTTATCAAATAATATAATTTGTTGTTAGATATAGTAAATGGTAAAAATAGTAGAACACAGACTCCTGCTTGTTATTTCTTGCCACTTTCAATTGTTCTTTCTTGTAACTTTTTGGACTCAAAATCTCTGGGGAGGATACTACAATACTGGACCTGATAAGCATTCCAACTCTAGCCCAGGCGGACCTTTTCGTAAGAAATAGCTGACACTAGTGGTCCATCACTTGTGTGATTTCTTTTGCAAAAGCGATGGCTCTGATAATGATAAAAATAATCCTGTTATAAGGTACCCTTTTATTTGAGGTAATATGGAATAAAAACAAACTTTTACGACAGCTTTAATGCACTCCAAGAAAGATTAAATAACCAATATAAAGTTCTTTCTTTATAAATTTTATGTACATTACTAAGGTCTAGATGTTAATTCCTGATGTTTGCAAAATGTTCCAAGTGCTAATGTAGTTCAAAAATTAATTGCCTATAGTATTCCATTGCAATGTGGTTAATTCAGCTTACTTATTTTTCCTGTATTTTGATATACCGGCTTTGTATCGTTTATGCTGCTTTTTGGTCAAAAGATGACTAGAAATGTGGTAATTGATAAGATATTTATTCCTCACAATTTACTGTTTTGCACGAGTGATCAAATGCTTGCGTGGTTGGGTTTACAGGGTTTACGCAAGTGCTGATGGAATGTGAGTGATCACTTGCTTCAAACAAAAAGGCCTGCCCAAGCATTTTCCCCCCTTTAAAGCAAACAGCTGTAGTCTTCAACCATAAGCTGCTGGCAATTAGTTTTGACTTTCAAGGTTGAACCTGAATTGAATTAACTTGCTTGACCAGAGTTTCATGCCAGCCACATAATTTTTTCCCAGGGGAGGGAATGTATCAGGAGGCATCGTTATATCATCATGAACCATTCATAGTAATGGTATTCTTACATAACACTGCATTGCTGGAGGCATTCATTGTCTTTTTGTCAGTTATTCTAAGTTGAGTCTTCTTGTTGCATTATGTTTCACAATAGTTTTTGTTGTTGAATACCAGGGGCCATGTTTAGCAATATAAATATCAATAGGCAGCCTACAAAGTTCAGGTTTAGAGACATCAGTTGCCAGATGCTTGAGGAAGCTACGGTTTACGTAGAAGGCTAGTGTCCCATGGTGATACAGACAAGACTGCTGAGCGCTGGGTTGAAAGAAAGAATAGAAACGTAGATTTCTTCTGCGGGCCATACAAGCTTCAGATTTTAGTGATTTGAAATCAATAAGCAAAACATCGTCCTCGATGAAAATAAAGTCTTTATCAGTTGGGTACTTTCTGAATATGTCCGTAAATACTTTTTGGTAAATACGAAATAACCTGTTGCCAAAGGTTTTTCTTTTGCAGTCCGTGTGGGTCAACAGCCATAGACTCAGTTCCTTAGTATCAATCATTTCAACACCATGTGCTAACCATGAGTTGTATGCATGCACGCGCTCTTCAAATGGCCGGCCACTGATCATAAATAATTTTGGAAGAATGCAGTTTGTTGCTTCTGTTTTCGACGCCTTTGGACAACGTAGATTATAGATGGGTTTCAACAGCGTAGATGCGACATAATCAAACGGGCTTTCCATCTGCTTTTCAACATAGCCCAAATGAATCCGCCACATGTAATATATGCCGCTAAAAACTAGTAATATTAAAACACAAAGTGAACATTTCAAAGCATTGACGAAGCTACAGTTTGATAACATTCTTGTTTTTTAGTATCACCCTTTTCCCAAGACCTCCTTTTGGATTCTGCATGCGCCAGCGCTGCTCGAACAGTTTACTCCGCAGCTAATCAATCTGATTCGTTCTCAATGTCACAATGTCAAGTGTGCAGAATAGAAAAATGGGCTAGAAAATAGAAGAAACGGAGGAAAAAGAACGAAAAGAAAAGAGGAGGAGAAGAGAAAAGGAGGAAAAAGAGAGAAAAAAGAATGAAGAAAAGGGGATGAAATAAAGAAGACATATTTGAAGGACTTGAAGAAAAGAAAAGGGAAAGAAAGGAGTAAAAATTGGCTACCTGTAAAAATTCCTACCAAAAGTTTGTATCTTTTATGAGTGTCAGTGTAAGAATCTTTTAAACACGACTTTAAGTCTGCAATGTTTTGAAAAAAGTTGTCAATCGCAAACGCTATTTCTTCAAAATTTAGTAGACGGTTTTCGTCTGCAAGCAAAATTTGGGGGGAATTATCTCATCCACAAATTTTATTCGCCTAACAGTTGGAATTTCTTGCGTAAATCTTTACTTCCTTTAAGTTAGGTAAGAAAATATGTTTGGTAAGAGGAAATGCCTAAGTAGAATAAGTATGCGATAAAGAAGTAGTTGAGGAAGGAGAGACGATTGTTAACGGGGAAAGGGCTAACAATCGCAATAATCGCAACTATATTTTGAGATTAAATAAGAACAGCTACGATGTTCTGCATTACAAACAGGTTGAATGAAAATGCAATTTAAGGCATCACGTTGCAGTTGTAACAAAGGTAGGAAGAAAGGAGTTTATGTGAAAACGCAAACTGCAGAAGCCTTTTTCTGTGACGTATCAAAGTAGTTGATTGTATAATAACAAAACCACACCCCGACTTCCACTTATAAACTAGCTCACTTGCAAACATGCAGACAAAACAATTTAAAAAGTTCAGAAGCAATGAAAATTTTGATAAAACTCAAACATTAGCATGAACAGAGTAAACCTAAATTTAAAAGAACATTTTGATATGACCTTGATAATCTAATGCCATTGGGCTTGGGAATAGAGCTAGTGCCATAGGACAAAAAACTATAGATTAATAAAACAGTCAAATTGTTTGCGTCCATGAAGCCTTCTGAACAGCTGAATAGAAGAGTATCTTTAATTAAATTTTATGAAATTTGCCTCTGTTATCAATACGTATGTATGAGAATGCAAGTAATAGAATTAATTGAACTGAACCGAACTGAGAGAAAAAGACCGAATTATTAGTTGTTTTTCAAGTTTGTTATATGTAGATTGAAAGCAACCCTGTCTGTAAATTAGGCAATTTTCACCGATACTCAACGAAAGTGCGTTTGCGATTTTATAGTACGTCAACAATGCCAGTAAAGTTCTATAGATTTGAAGAAAAATCCGTAAATTCATATTTTCGTGAGTGCATTCCTCGGTGCCCTAAAGAGTTGCCAAAAATCAAATCAAATCAAACCAAACACTTGATACCGGTCCAGGTGCGCCTAGTGTGTCCACTCTCATTCAGAGGTTTGGCTAAGTTCATCCGGAAAATATCTGAGAAAGGGGTGGTTTTTTCCATAAACCTAGGACAGTGAAACTTAGAAAAAGCGGTACACTTTGGAATTTGGAAAAAATCAATGTAATGGTTTTTTTAAAACCATGTGAGGTCAAGATGCTTTATTGAAAACATCACAGCATGTGATGCATATCATTTACCCATTAATATAATTAGAAAACCCAAATATTTTTTTAGAAAGAGCACCACCTCAATGTGACTCAATACAACATTTACAAGAAAAGAAGACTTTTGTATGTATAAGGTCATTTGCAATTTTAACACCATTTCAGACTAGACAAATTTATAAACCTACAAAAATATGAATCATATAAATCGAACCTATATGATTCTCCTATCAGTGCAGTTTTGGATAAAATAATGGAACCGAATCAAAGGAGAGCAGAGCAGGAACTCCTGTTCATTTTGTTTCAAGCATAGCGATTATTGTAAATTAGTATCATAAGAAATTCAATAAAGTCAGAGGCATAGAGCCTTTCGGATGATCTTAGGGACACCACTGAATGAGAGTGGACAGGCCGGGAAGGTGCGCTAGTAACGAAAGGACCTGGAAACGAGTGATCTAGTTAAGCACTGTCTGTAAAGGGCAGAAAAAGATACAAAGATGCACAGGGGCGGATCTAGAAAATATTCTGACTGTCGCACACAAGGGTGTGGTCGGAAATATCATTCGTGACCACACCCTTTGGTTTAAGGATATTCACCCTCTTCTCATTTGAGCAGTCGACACGCACATTAAATTGGCTTTATTTAGAACGTGGCCAAACTGTTGTTTATTCCTTATCTGAGTTTTCAATTGATACTACAGAATCATTTGTGTTGTTTCTTAGCCAAGCGTAAAGCAAGAAAGCGTATTGACGGTCTTCCTTTCATAGTCAGGCAAAAATTCGAGTCGTCTTTTTCGATTTGTTTATGGTATACGATGACAAACCAGGCCACGCGAAAAAATGAAAAACATCATTGCAGTGAATTTTCAGAACTAACCAAATAGAACAAATTTACACAAATATTCATAAAACCTGCATTAATAACTAATATTATTTAATAGCTAAACCAATCAGCGTGTAAACATGTATTTTACTCCGAAGAAACCCCTTCGAATTCAGGGGAATACCCAAGCAAGTAAACATTACCCGGAAATATCTGAAAGCTGATAAAGAACTGAAAATCCACATTGAAAAGATTCACTTTGAAAGTTTTGTTTAAGTGAAAATTTTTCTCTGCCAACGTCCTGAACATTATTTCTTCGCCAGAGCTAAATCGCAGGTATCGCCCACTGATTATCACCCCAGTCCAGTGCATTTATTGACATTAGTAGGCCCTCGATCCATGGAGGAGGTAATAAACATCGAAACTTGAAAACATCCCGTGTCGAATGTTACTCTGAAAATCTAGCGACCTTGTCTTCCAAATTACCAGGTTTAACCTATTCGTTTTACATGTAGCCAGCCGACTCCATAACACAAAATTCCTTTTCTCCAGTGAAAAACTTGCCCATGCCAGGCATAAATAAGCTCAAAACTGCACAATACACGCAATGAGGACGGATTAATCTTAGCCCAGTGGTGCGACCTTACTAAAAAACATACTGTGCACCAAAGTTCGCACTATCTAGCAATTTGATTGGCTAAATATTTTAAAACAAAAGCTGTGCGAATCGGTGCGAACGTGCTACTAATCATACTGTGCACCGAAATACCCTAATCTAACTACATTGGTACCCTGTTGTTTTTTAGTCAGGATGCTTTGAGATTTGAATCAGATTGAATCAAGATCGAGATAGAATTAGAGATTGTTTTTAAGATTTTGCTTCTGTTTATGGCCAGGTTTAAATCATGCATGATTCAGACCTTGGATCTTCCTGCTCCTGCACGGTGTTCAGTTGTCAAATATAACTGAAGCATAATTCCCGAGTAAATAGAATCAAAACACAAATGAGAAATTTGCCAATAAGCGAAAAAGTTGTTGTTCAGCAAAAACCTCTCTCGAGACAGATTCTTAGTATAATTTTAAAAGTTTGACTGTCGCATGTGCGAACGGTGCGAACGTCTAGATCCGCCCCTGAAGATGCAATATGGACAAGTAGAAACTTGTCTTAGGTATCAACAAGGTTATACCAAATGCAATTTCGTTGAAAGTATAGTGATATATTTGGGCTAAAGATAATACAAAATTGCAGATTGACCATTGAAAGCAACATTTTAGGTACCTTTGTGCATAGTCCGTGGTCGAAGTGTGCTGTGGAGGCAGCATCAATCCAGGAAAGTGAGCGAAATGGGGCTCAAACAGGTCGTCAATATCAAAATCAGTGACAGAGGATCGGTGTGAATGCTTCAAGAGGTCATTGAAGAACTGCTTGTGAACAAGATACAAGAACCTCATAACATTTGGATAGCTCATTGATCCATGGACACTCTTGTTGTAGGGTATCGGTCGTATTCTTGGAGGGCTGTCCTCAGACAGTTCTGTTAGCAACACCAAAAGCGTTGGCACCTCTGCGATATTGTACACAGCCAAGGTTGCTGGAGGAGCATTTTCAATTACAGCAAAATGAAATAGTGTTGGGAATTTCAGAGCTACTTGCTTGTAGAAGACTGGTACCCCACCATCGCCTGAAGAAAATTAATTTTAATGCACATTAAAAGAATTTATCAAACAAGAAAATTCTTTACTAATATGGTATTTAAATGATTTTTAAGAAATCCAATAGTTTTTGGTAGTCTTTCCTTTCGGATAAATTTGATATAAATATGCCAGTGATACGAGTAGCAAATCACAGTTTTTTTACGACTTTTGCTTCGCAGCAGACTGAAGCAATGATTACACTACCAAAGTTCAATACTTCAGCACATTTTGCCGTTATTGAGAAAAAATTTGCTGCACTGAAATCTTGCTGCTATTGAGAAAATGGTAATGCACCTATTTACAAAGATGGCAAATGCAACCAGAATTATGAAACAGCTAATTTCTCGATGAATCAAAGGCAAATCTCAAATAACTTTGCTATCCTGGATTGGTTGAAACTTGACAGGCATCATTCAAAATCAAAGTGTCAGTCATCGATGGTGCTAGCATACCATTCCACTTACAAAATACCAATACGACCAGCCAATACCAGCAAAACGAGATCTGGCAGTTAACTGCATGTCTGGTGACAAAACGTTCTTACGAAAGGACACCATTTAAGTCTTTATTCGACTTACCTGTGAAAAGGACCAGGGGAAACTTCGGAGGAAGCATGGAGTAAGCCTCTTGAATAAAGTTTCGAAGCTCAGTGTTTCTGTTGTCAACTACATTTGGCAGCTTGTTAGTGACGTCAGGAGTGCTCGCTAGTGCTCTATAAACTGCAGTGTCGGGTGATTCTACACCTTCGCTTCTCAATCGTTTGTGGATACGAGGACCAAATGGGTACATCAAGATGGCTGGCAACGAGGAAGGCTTTTCATCCTTGCCCTTAAATGGAATGTGTAAGAATAAGCAGAGTTTTGTAACATCCCAGAAAAGAAGGAAACCTATTTGATAAAGCGAGCTAAAGAGTAGGAAAATAAAATTTTAGGTATTAAAATTGAAACGATGCTTCTTGAAACAGAATCCCGCAAAGAAAGAAGGTTTAGATTCTAGCTTGATTTTCTAAACTATTTACACTATGGTTTCATGTTCTATGGTAGAATGTAGATAATCAAGGACCGTGAAACAGATTACAGATTGTGGGGGCTAAAACGTTTTGGGGGGCTAAACGTGGTAAAAACCAAGAGCAATTAATTTTTTGTATGGTTTTAAGTATATTTTGGAAATTATTGGGGAGGGGGGGGGGGGTAAAGCCTCAACTTTAGGGGAAAAGCAAATGAACTGGCGAAGAAAAGACAGACCTGTCCTCTTTCCTTCTACTATCGTTTTCTTGTGAAAATCTGAAATCGCTGTCGATGATATTCAAGAAAACGAAAGGTTGAAATAAGATTTGGATACTTTTATAGAATATTATGTAACCCTTTCAGATTGTAGGCAAGTTGCAACGTGAGAAATTATCAAAATCACTGTTTGGTTTCAACGTGAGAAATTATCAAAATCACAAAATCAAAATCAACAGAACGGCGATTAAGTAAGGAATAACAGAGCATTGATTTGACCTGTAAGATACTAACAGTAAGGCCATAAAAAAATAAGGGGCTGGGTTTAGAAAAATTACTCCAATAAAACGGGGTAAGCCCACGAGAAAAAATATTGTGGTCCTAGAACACGTGACCTACCAGTAGCTTCAAATATGAGATGTATTCCTCTTCATCGATAATGCCAATATTTATCCTGTCTTTGGTTTCTTCGTAAATCTTATCCAGCTCCTTTATCGATACTTTGCTGGAAATACCAACAATCCACGGGCTATTCTCAGAATACACGAGCACTTCAAAGTTTTCTTGATTTAAACGAGTGACCATAGATGAACAACATAGTGCGAACAAGCTTATAAAAAATATAGCTGTGAAATATTGAATTTTGGGATAAAAAACGAACATTTTTAGTGTCCCAATAGTACTCTACAGCTTTACAACTTTGAAAGTATCCCAAGCTCGGCAAGTTAAACTGGGAATAGGGTTAACAGCCTTAACAAAGCGCTGCCATTATTATTTGCTTATTGGCCGCTGCATAGACTTAAAATAAAAAGAATCTCAAATTCATTTGCTACGTCATCCATTTGTTGACTTCACGCTGAACAAACCCAGATCGATTATCAGCTGCATCTTGTTAGTACAGTTTAAACAAACATTCCAGCCTGAATCTAGTTGACGTGTGGCTTCTAATGCACGTGTAGATGTAAACAATAAGAGATGGGCCTAAGGGGTGAGTTCGTTTTGGGAAAAGGGGTTTGTGTGAGCCGGTACTTTAAAAAGTAAGCCTAAAAATTCTTTGAAAATGAGGAGGAATGTAATAAAGCTCTTACCAATTTTTCAAGTGATTATCTTACTATGTTGCAAATGGGTATTTTCACCTATCGAACTACACCCAAGTTTTAAAAGGGTAGAAGGGGGTTTTCACAAATATGGAGGGGCTAAGCAATTTCTACAAGATGCTGAGCTGCAAGTCTTTACCTGCAAAATTTCAAAAGGAAAACCTCTTCATTCGGCTAGCTAAAAAGAGTTGACTGAAAACTTTTGAAAAACCACGAGCCTCCGAACTCAGGCATTGAGATCCAGCCCAGTTTCTATAGAAAAGGGAATTTGCGATGATCTACAACTAAGAAATGTCAGTGGAACGTTGCCCCTACCAGCTCAATACCATAGAAGACCAGGAATAACTATGGAAACATTGAATGAATTTAAGACAGAACAAGAAGCCTTCCCTCAATTCCCATTCACTGCACAGAAAGCAGTATACGCTATCCTTGTTTGCAGTATGTCTGCTGACTAAATCACGATATCATTCTAGTGAAATAAATCTCAGTTCGCTTTCCCGAAACGTCGCTTCGAAACAAAGTACATGCATCCACCGCCTCAGTGGCGGAAATTATGGGGGTTTGGGGGGGGGCTCGGCTCGGAAAATTCGGGATTTCGTCGGATAACTGACAACCGTTTAACGTGTCGAAATTACTCCAAGAAATCGCTCTGCAAAGGAATTTTAAGCTATTCTGAGGGGCGTAATTGCCAAATTTTTTGCTCGCTTCGCTCGCAGGTGATCTGCATTTTCCCTTTTTATCCCAGGGGCCTCTATAACCTCTCTGTGCCCTTTTTGCAAAATTTGAACATAGCATAGCTGATAAAATATTAGCCAGTACTAAATAATCAATCAAACAATATCTGACCAAAATCAAAACTACTTGTGAATTGTATATTTAATTCAATTCCATAAGATTAGTCCGAATTTCCATAGGATTCTTCGGAATAAAAGCTATTTTCAAACTTATTTCCCACTAACGAAAACAAGGCAAAATTCATAAAATGAACGTACGACTTGTCAAAAGTGTGATCGGTCGACCTCTTGTATCATCAATTGTGTCTTAGATGATCGATCTTGATATTAAAAATCATAAATGGATTGTTCTTCTTGCTACTTAATTATGGCGTGGTCAGCAAATATTTCTATCTGGTCCCGTCAAAAAATCATCTATTTTTATCAAAATGTGTAGTTAATTTAAAAAAAGACATGACCCGAGATGTTATCTTGTCGGAAAATCGTAGGCCTGGGCTCCCCCAAATGAAACCCTGAATTTCCGCCACTGCACCGCCCCCCCCCCCCCATCTGCCAATCACTGGCTAATACTAAGCCAACCTCTGAACATCACCTAGTGTCTGCACTCATAGGAACCTTGCAAAAGTTTCAACATTCAAGCATGCAACAAATTTTCCGTGCCATCCTGGGGGCCTACCGTACATCAAGAGCAATTTTCAACAACTGTCATTGTTTTTCAAGACACTGCTTGTGCAATCGTTATCGTTATTTTACGCTTCGCATCCACCAAAGCCCAACAAAATTAAAACACAGTATACCAACAGCTGATTAAGATCGAAAGAGGAAGTATTGGCGGCTTTGTGCTGGATTTTACTGCAATAAACGAAAACCTCAACCTGCTAGCGTTTATAACAGGGCGATATGAACGTAGATGGGATTGGTCGATGATAATGGAACCAATGAAAACCAGCAGAGCATGACGACGCTTGAGTGTATGTGCAGCTATGAAGAGAATCCGCAAAAACATAGCACCAAGGCACACAAATCAAGAAATTAGTATCAGAAGTTTGAATCAGATGGATAAAAATGCGTTGGAAGTATACAGTATCACTACTGGTATTGACATTTATTTCGGTTCAAGGAGACAAGAAGGACCATAGCGCAGGTATGGTCAAATTTGAATCTTATTTACTGTCGGAGCTGTTTCAAAATCAGGCAAATCAAGGAGATTAAGAGGAGATATTTGATAAAATGTTGCTGTTTTTTTAATGATCCTACGTCTGACACGAGATTCCGCAAACAGAATTTTTGTCTGCTCGTTAAGCGGCAGATCAGCTGCAAGAATAGTTTTCATTCGAGTTAAACCTTAATCAGAATGCTGCGCGGCTGCATAAGAAGCTCAAAACTTAAAAAAATTCAAAAATTAGAAGTTATCTGAAGGTAATCAAAAAGCAAATGTAGCAAGTAGCTTGTACCTGACTACCATCCTAAGCGCAGGTATCAAATAAGTACAACAGTTTGCAAAATAATTACTTGTATACTAACCGTGTTTGTATGGGACAAACATACAAACACGGTTAGTATTCAAGTTCAAAGGGGGAAGGGGGGGGGGAGACACTGGTGCGTTTTAGAAACAATATTAAAGAGACATGATTCAAGCAAAATAGCAAAAACAACTTTGCACACAAATAATCATCGAAAACTATTCCACTGGCACTACTGAGCATTTTCTAATTAAAATTTCTTTAAGAAAATATTAATTTGGGATCAGATGAAGTCTTAAATGAAGCTCTTGATTCTTTCGGCGAAGGCGGTGCCAAAACTGATGGTGAAATTGCAAATGGCAAATTTATGATAAATATGATGAATAAATTAACATCTGACATATCAACAATACTTGGTCTAGCTGTCCAAAAATTAAAGCCTTGGACCTATTTTCAACCTTTTCAAAAAATGTTTAAAATGTTTTTTTCTCGACTTCCAGATCCCAACAACAATGCCAGCGGAAAAAGGGAACCAACGGAAACAAACGGTAAAAAACATAGAAATGAAAGCAAGCATGAAGTTTACAATGGAAGTAATCAAAACATAGAAAAGGAAGATGAATGGACTAAAGAAGTAATGAAAGTAACATCGAATGATAAGAAAGCAATTAAGGATGAATTGAAAAAGGTAAAGCCGATTCCAAAAATGACAAAAATGGAAGCAAATATTGCGAAAAATGCAGAAAAACAGAAAGGAAACGAAAATTCTAAAGAAGTCACAGGCAGTAAAACTGGGAAGATAAGAAAGAAAACTCAGGCATCAAGATCAGTTATAGTGGACGAACTTGAGAAGAAGAGACCGACAGAAAGCTGGTTAATCAAAGTGACAGATGGCAAAAAGAAAACTATGGTAAAGAAGGCAGAAGGGCCTACCGGATCCGTGAAAAAGAAATTCGCTCTCACAAAACCTTCTACGCCAACATATTCAAGTCTGAAGCCAACAACGATAAAAGAAACATTCCCCACAACTGTTTCGCACAACTTAACAGGGACCCCGAGCAATGGGCCAACTACGGAAGCTGTTAGTACGCCTCTTCCGCAGAACGAGGCTTCTAGCGCGTCACCTCCGTTGAACGAATCTGACGTATCTGGGTCTGGCTCAACCGCAACAACAGAGCGGCCTACAAATACGGCAATTAAAAAGCATGACCCTTTGGCAGGAGGACATTCCAAACTAACAAAGGCGACAAGTTCAGGAATGGACCTTTCAAAAGTATCCAAAGCAACCAACGACGATGATGGTGAGGATGAGAATAGTAGCGGAGACGAAGACGAGGCTGAGAACGAGCGAAACGACAATGAAAAAGCCGAAGCGCGAAATGTAAAGGACGAGGAGAAACGAATTTTATGTGTAGGGGATTCGATAACTGAAGGGTACTATAGCGGTGGCAAAGCCTTTCATCCTTACACTAAAAAGCTGTCTGAGTTGTTAAATGCAGAGAAAAATCACGTGGTATACAATGTTTACAATGAAGGAAAAAGCGGAGAATGTGTGGAACCTGAAATGACTAATCGAATGCCTTCGCTTATACAAAAATACAAACCAGTTGATTTAGCAATAATAATAGGTGGAACAAATGATTTTACCAACCATAACTGCACCGAAGGGAACTTATTTCATGGTATTAAAAAGTTGCATGACATGGCGCATGAAGCGGGTTTAAAAACAGTGGCAGTAACGATACCAGACTCGAATGCACCGCGCTTGCCGGGAAGGAGTGAGAAAGAGGACGTTTGGGAGTCGGTAAATGATAAGATAAAGGACTATGCGAAGGAGCATGATGATGTTATCTTATGCGACCTAGCGGAAGAGTTGCCATACAGGACGCTTACGGACGATGAGCGAAAGAAATATTGGGATGACGACCTGCATTACAATCCAGCAGGATACGATCGGATGGCGGAAGTCATTTATGACGTCATTCAGGGCAATTTCTAGGAAAGCAGTTGCAAATGAAGGTGAATCATTGAAACGTCACCATTACAAATCAACAGTAAGAGCACTGTGAACTGAATTTTTAGGGATGATGTTATCAAATCAGATTGAGAGTAGAAACAAGTGTAGCAAATACATCGGTACTTTTTGGTATTATCCAAGCAATGTTTTCCCATCTATACAGGCATTACAAATGTCAGAAATAAAAATGCATACTTGATTATGGCAATAAAAGACATTACCCTGCTGAAGATAACAGTGTTCTATAAATTGACTAGGCGCAAAGCAAAGGTTGCCTCACTAGCTGTAAAATCCTTCATCGTCAGTTCTCGCAGCACTGTACAAAAAGCGGTATCTGGAATATGACGTAGGCCCTTCTTGGTGATGCTTTTAAACTGATTGAGTCCAGCAAGATTTCACAGCTGATTACCATCATCCACGACAATCTCCTTCATGACGTCATAATGGTTTAACGGCGACAGTTATCTCTCTTTTCGAGCTGTTGACAAATTGCAATAGCATTAATGACAAACTAAACTTCAACATATGATTTGGAAGGATTTGTTTGTAGGAGAGGGAGAATTAAAAATTAGAGACAGGAAAAGACATCATAAATACAAATAATTCAAAGTATTGTGAGACTTAGTGGTAAAACTTATAATCTAGTCATGAAAACTCGTATTGAACTTTGCAGACATTTCATGTAAAACAGGTATATGCAACAAACATACGTGACAGCAAAACTCTGCTTTAAAAAAATTAACATAAAAGTCCTGGAAATAATTCAAAGAACCAGAAGACAAAAACTTACGGCGATTGTATGTGTAGCTTTTGTTTCTTCTGTAATTTTCAAATGGATCATTCATCTCAACGCCAACACCCTAATTAAAAATGGTACATGCAGTATAAATAGCGAATATTGCCCTTAAAAAACAGCAGTAAATTTCTTGCATTCACAACCGCAACTATTAGACTCTGACCCAGTCTAATAACAGCACGCAGCTAAGGTTGATGTAAATGACGGTCATTTCTAATCTTTGCAATTCTTGAATTCAATTAAAGGAGGAATACAAGATTTTCTAGCTTAAGGAACAAAAAATTGTCCAATGTTGATACTTTTTTGTAATAATCCCACTTCCAGAAAACTAAATTGTATTTTACTCAAAATTATGCAATTTTTCTGGCAGTGTAAGTAATATGCGAGTTTCAACACAAAGTTAACGTTATATCACGATAGAAAAGCCACCTTGAATTAAAAAACTCACCCAATTCTCTTTAATTAAAAGAGAGAATGAGTTGATTATAAATGAACTCATTACCTTAAACATATCTCCTTTTTCTCTAACTTCGCCTCCTTTGATCGGCTCTTGGATCCCCCTTTCTTCCCGACCTAGACCTTTGCCAGCCCAACCTAAACAGAAAGATACAAACATAGATAAAACTATCCACCACAGCACAGCTAAGAGAGTTAATAAGAAAGAACTTTTGTGAAATAAGCCTCATCCCCCAAGAAGCCCTCATGGGTTGAGGTATTGCCTTGATGGCAATAGGTTTATCCCAATAAATCTGCATTTTTAGGCACACTAACCAATCTTTAATAGGAGAAAAAATTTCTCTGGTAACATTTTTGGCTGCTACTAAATAAGCTCCTACGCTCGAACAAGCCCCTTTAGAATACACCCCACCACAAAATATTTTTACGAAATTAGTTCGGGGTTTATTCGATGACTTGCGGTATCTGGTTTTGATATTGACAGATGGTAAATAAAGGTCTCCAACGCAAATAAGCGATTAATATAAAATAAAAAGATCATGAGCGTCTCCACGTTTATTGCATTGAAAATAGGCTAAAATGACGTTTCGGCTATGGCTAGAATGATTCATGCTGATGATCTCTGCTCACCTAGATCTTTGCAATGGTCATATACGTTCTAGCTTTATAACTCCAGCAAACAAAATGAGATAATTATGATAGAACCATGCATACCCATTTTTTTCAACATTTGGTGACCAACATTACTCTCATCAATTCGCGATTCCAGGGTTTTGGACTCAAACATACTGTAATTAGAAATGTTAAATTTACACACTATCCGCAGCTTTCAATATAGATATAGCAGTTTGATAATTCTGAAGGTTATGTTTTTAAAATACACCACGCTTTAAGCTGGCGGCCTATTAAAATTTGGCCATTAGAGACAAATAACAACCTCACTGGAAAGGGAATTTTTTCTTAACATCAGTTGTAAATTGAACATTCCAGGCCTTATGGACATAATGTGGAAACTAGTAAAAAAATAATATGCAACGACAATATGTGCAGATTTACATGTTTTATAACTAGGGTAGCAAATATTGTGGTATCGTCTAAGTTGACTAATTCTTGGTAATATAAATGGACGTCAGAATAAGACTGGTAACACAAGGAGCACGTTCCTGTTACCGAATTAGGGCTTCATTTCGTACATTGAAATTTTAGCTCTAAGGAAAAGCCCCTTTTTATATTATGCCCATCTTTCCTTGCGCCCTCTTCTTTGAAATGATTCCAACCGCCCTACAAACATACGAGTCCACAAAACGTACACGAATCCGGTTGGTGGGGTCGGACTTCTTCTAGGGCTTCTCTCCTTGACCGGTCTTGGTGACATCGATTTTGATCTTGAGCGGGAACGAGACTTAGACCTGAAAAGAATGATACATTTGTCAACCAAAGCGAGAACAGAAAAATGAATAATTCGTTTCAGTATGGGTAAGGTAGAGAGAAATGTTGAGAGTAATAAGATGTCTGTCCTTAGTACAACAAGGTTACGTGGTATGTACAACACGAATCAATATAGCGTAATTCTTCATTGCAGTTTTTGGTAATCGAGGCTTTGTCAACAGAATAGCGACAGTAAAACTAACTTTTCCTTTAAGAATTAAGTAAAAACTGAAATTGCTGTACCTTGAACGCTTTCGATCGTCTGATGAAGATCTTGACCTCGAGCGGCGCCGTTCACGACTTCTCGATCTGTTTGAGCAAGGGAATGCATATTTAAAAGAAAACAAAAAATAGGCATATAAAACAAAATAAAGTCTTGAAAGTATCATTAGGGCTTTGGTTGAGACAAAGAAGAATAATTTTTTTTGACCCGTTCATTTGAATTCACCGTGCCATGGATTTGACAAAAGATGGCTATTTAAATCAGTTTTAAAAAGATACAAAACCCCTTCAAATTATTGCAATACCCAGCTGGCTTGATTCTTGTTTTTATAGTTCCCTTCCCGGATTTAACTACCCTGCTCCCCCTAGCAGTCGTAACATTCAGGACGCGAAAAAAATTCTCGAGTTATTTACGTCAGTGTTCCTAAAATAATGGCAGTAATGGTTCCCTGATCTCACACATCGGTTTCAAATTACAAACTGTTTCAAAATTACAAACACAAACCGTGAGCGGCGTCTTGGTGATTGTGATCTTGATCTCGATCTTGATTTTGAGCGTGATCGAGACCGCGACCTCCTTCTGGGTGACACTGAGCTGAAATCAATAAAAGACTTTCAATTAAAATACACAAAAGGCAACATCTGCGTTAGATGCTTTCCTGTCATAACAAAAAATTAAATGTAAAGATTTGATTATTTGAATTTTATTTGAGTTCCAAATTTCATTTTTCTATACTGTCTTTCAAATACTACTTAAAAATCACCCTAACAGAAACCTTTTGCTGCAAAAGTTGTTAAAGTTATTTTGCTGCACATGTATACTGTTTGCAGGTAACTTCAATACCATGATGTTGTTATGCCCTGACTTCTGAGATATATTCCAATACAATAACTCTAGAATCTCTAATAACAAGTGACTTGGTATAAAGTTGGCAGCAGACGAGGGAAGCTAAAATAAGTAGGGAGTAAAGAAATTTTAAGATAACCACACAAAAAACAACTTAAACGTGATCGTACACAACTAGAAGGAAAGACGGTTTTTTAATTCATACGTGAAAAATTGAACTTTTGAAGAGACCGGTTTGGGAAAACAGCAGGATAATGGAAAAATCTTCAAAACGTACTAAAAGGGAAATTATATTGAGAATTATGACTAATAGATAGTGCGGGAAAAACTTAGAATTACTAGAAGTATGCTTCTGTAACTGTCGTACTTTAAAAGTATCAACACGTACCGCCTTTTTGGACTTTTTGGAGGAGACTGCCTCTCTTGAATTGGCCTCATTTGCACGGGGGGTGGACTTGGACTCCGCACAATTGCTGCGATATTTCTAGGTTTATCCTTAATGTATTTCAGCTTCGCTTTAAAGAACTCAAAAAGTCCATTCTTCTCCCATCCGTTACTGAAATAAGATTGAGGGCGTTTAATTTAACCAAGCAAATGCAATAACAGCAAATAAAAATTATTCAAGTTTTCGTGTCTTATATTATCAATGCGAAATTTCGATAAACAGTAGTCGATAAAATGCAGCAAATCAAATGATGCAAAAAGATACAAATTATCAGGACAGATGATATGCAAGTAGTAAATTTAACTTATTATATCGCCAGCTGAATTTGGTTAATTCAATTAATAATGTCAGTTCGATTGCTTAATGTCAGACTTGTCACGAGACAGGTAAATATATAAGTATACTTTGTTGCAAGTATTCATTCTGCAAATTATTCCTCTTTTCTGGCCATTGATACCTATACTTCGAGTATGCTATCAATATTGGAACGGCGTTTGCTCTATGTACGCTATTAAAGCTTGTAAAAGTAATCCATCGCCAATTAATTGGAAGTACCTGTCTCTAGGGCGGTCATGCGATGGTGGGCTGTAAAATGCTTCAACAGCAGCGAGAAGCCGTTCACTTGGAGGCTGTGGAACGGGAAGGCGAATGTCCTTTGGATTAATCGGCTTGTATTCACTGTCCCAAAGCTACGATCAAAACAGCAAATTAAACCGCTTATTGATTCAGCTGCTTAGGTTAGAAGGACGCTAAATTTGAAGGTGGCATGGAATAGCGAAAACATAACATACTGAAACACTTTACCTCCGACACTCTTAATAATAAAAACGTCAAATAAGGACCTAAAGTAAGCAGAAAATAAATATCCAGGTGTTAATCGAAGCGAGATTAAGAAAGACGCGTTTTACTAATCAGCGACCACTAGCCTCTCATCTAGTTGAAGGATTCAGAAGGACTCTGACCAGTGCTTATGTTTCATTCAGAAAGCACTTATAATGAACATAATGGTTTACGGATAATTGGCACAAATAGAAGAGTTGAAATCAACGACCACCACGTTTAAGCTAACAGGGGTTAAAACAACAGCCAATTAAGACTTTCTTGGAGCAATGTAAACAGCAACTTCGAGGCAAATTTCTACCATATCTCCCAACAAATTGTTACGGTTTCCTTTGTAAAACACAAAACTATTCATCATTGGACAAATTAATCTCAAATTCTGGTATAATTTGATTAGAGAGTTCTAGATATTTTTCAAGCGTAACCTCAATTTTCTAAAAAAAGAAATTGCAGCAATTGGTGCTTCTTCATCTGTTGTACAGCTCTTGATATTACATAGACGAATTTCTATTAGATTAAAGTTATAATACAGAGCGGTTTCATATCGCTGTTCGGCTTTGCAACTCAAAATAACCAATTGAAAGATACATAAATAAACTCACATGAATAAGTGGAACCACTAGACCGGCTGGTAAATCGTGGTACGGTGCAACAGGAACCGTTGGGTCTCGAACTTCAACCGGATGCATACCAGGTCTAATCTCTGGGCCAGCTCTTCCATGGTCGTAGTCAAACGTCTGCGGCTGCGGGTGGCCACCAGGTTCCGGGAACGGTGCACGATGTTGATGTCCATAATCAAATTGCTGAAACTGCGGTGGCACATGCCTCGGCTGAAACATTGGGTCTTGAAACCGAGGTGGTGGTTGGTTGAAATCAGGCGGGTGTCCCTAAAAAGAAAATTGGTTTCTACACTCGCTCGGTATACTGTCTAAATTGGTTAAGGTTCTGTGATTAATCGAGAACACTGCAACAGAACAGATACTCCTTGTTTCACGGACAATTCGTTCGAGAGATGTGCGCTTTTGCCCACAGGAATAATTATTCAATCTAAGGCATGTAGCCATTTTCTGCTCCAACGAGACTCAATTTCATGTCATTCCCCAAAATACGAAAGTCGCGTTTTGCATCAAGCTATAAAGATATTCAAGAAGCGCAAAGAAATAGAACAGAAGCAGAACTTACGTAAATACTTAACTTACCCATGGACCTGGCTGTGGCCCGAACTGGCCAGGTCCTCTTGGGAAATTCGCTCCTTGGTGCCCGGGATGCATGAAACCCTGCACGTAGCAAAACTAATTAGCAATATCACTTTATCTGTGATCTTTTTTATCAAACACAAAGTAGCAAAAATACTGCAGCAACCGAAAAAAAATATGTAGAATCTAAAGGTATCTTAAAAATACAAATAAAATATGGGTATTTTCATAGAGGTGCATTTGGCACACAATATGTCCAATGTGACAGTTAAGTTTGAAAATGAGAAAAAACCTATAACTTATAAAACTATTTATTTGAATTTCAATTCAATTAATTTTTTAAGTTCTTACATTCCAATAGTGAAAGTATATATTTCAGCATTTATTACGCTCAACTATTTCAAAGTCAACAAATAAACAAACAAACAACGACCTCCTGCCTGCCAGGGTGTGGATGATCTCTCTGTTCCTCGTGTAATCTTCTGTCACCCCCCGGGTCAACACTTTCCCTCTTTACTTCCATATCCGGGCCCATCTCCTGTGCATTTGGTAACTGGTTTTGGCCCATATCTTGCGGAATCTGCGGTGCCTGTTGATACGGATAAGGAAACGACGAAGGAGGAGGTTGGCCGCCTTGAAACTGTCCAAAGGGTTGCGGAAACTGCTGCCACTAAAAGTCAAGCAAGAATATTTGAATGTCGATGCAAGAAAAGCAGGGTAATGAACCTTTTCTCACGGAAGAAGATACTTTTTTAGAAAGACATGGAAAATCTCAAAGACTTTCTATAGTAGTAAACACAAGCTAGATTGGCTTTACAATTAATTTTAGATTTGCAGCAGCATGTGGACTATTGGGCTTATACAAGATTACCCAGTCTGCCATATGATTTTGTCTATTGTTGAACGTGGATCGTGGCAACCTTCATCAGAACTTTCAGTAACGGTAAATGTCCAAATAATGTCATTTAATGATGGCTTTTAGAAGAAGGTGTCCATAGAGAATGCCTTTATTTGTCAAAATTATGACTCCCTATTGACGGTTAACCAGCTTTTTGAAGATCCACGAAAGAAGCAGCATAGGGACAAACAGCAAAACCAAATGATTACTTCCAGCTCTTTAAGCTATGAACTTTTAAGCTTAAACAAAACGATTGCAAGTCAGTAAAGCCATGCAACAAATCTAGTAAGCATCTTTAACAATGTTTTCAGCAAAATTTCTTTTCACTAGTTATTCGTATTTTCTAAATGCTTTTAATGATCAAATCAGAGAAAAGTCAGGGCAAAGGCAAGATTTCAAAACACAATGCCGAGATAAGACCAAACAAAGTTTGCAGAGGCCTGTGGCTTTAATTACCTGTGGTGGTTGCTGCTGTGGTTGAAAATTCCCAAATCCTACAAAGTAACAAAAACGTAATTTTAATAATTCATCAAACATGAACAATACTTTAAAAGATACTAGAATATTCCAGTTACTATCATCAATGCTTTCAAAAAGAAATGTCAAAGGATTATCATTTTCTGAGGCGTAAGGCAAAGATAGATTCTTAGATTGAATAAATGAATCTGTTTTTTATCACAATTGGCCTTTCTATTGCTGCATTTGTTGATTTACAATAATTAAGTATTGATTACAAAGACTGGGGTCCCAATAAACCTAGGGCAAATCCAGGTCTGACTAGACGAAATCATTCAAACATCATACGGTTTTACTTAAATTTATAATAAGTAATCTGGTTAAAGGTCTGAAAAACACTGAAAAAGCTCTTCAAATCAGGCAAGTGCATCTAATTCTGATAAAACCTAGCCAAGTGAATTTCAAACCGTCTTTCAAACCATTTTGTAAGAGACAATAAACTGCGAATTCAACAGGTAGCTTGAACAGTCTCTTGATAAACAAAAATTTTAGAAATATGAACCAAACAGGAAAACAGTTCTATAACACCTCACCAGGTTGCTGTTGTTGTTGTTGTTGCTGCTGTTGTTGTTGTTGCTGTATTAAAACTGCTTGCTGCTGTTGTTGTAGTTGTTGCTGCTCTTCATTGCATTTTGCTTCATATTCTTCATAAGCCTTTTGAGGGTCTTTTAAACTCTGAAAAGAATTCAAGCTTTAACATTTACATTTGGCACAAAATACATAAAGCTCTTTGCAAACCGATTCATTGAAAAATGCATCGCTGCAATAAAGCAGGCAGCAGAAGTCTCAAAAAGGCTTTTTTAGAACATCAAATATAAACTGTTACATAGGATACACATTTGGTCGAAATATATGTCAGGGGTAAAACAACTACACCATCTACAATTTGGAAAGTTGCCTGATGATCGTATATAGTGTGAAATTACACACCAAAGCGTGAAAAATATTACTATAAAGCTGGCCAGTAGACAATAATCTTCATTAGATAACAATACAATATCTGAACTGCCCTACCTGGTCTTCATGCAAAATTCATGCAATCATTATGGTGGCATTAATGTCAATAAATGTTCATCAACATTTAGGCATGTTTTCTCAGATCCAGTAGCCATAACCATGAAAATTTGCCATTAAAGTTTCAAGAAAGGATTGGCAAAACACAACTTCAGAGGTACAACATCTATATTTGTAAATAGATTTTGTCAGTTTATACTGGTAACTACCCAGAGATATATTTCTGTGACTTATATGGTAACTGTTATCAAATTGATACCTAGAGCTATTACCATTTTGAAGTATGCTAAGCATCACCTAGGGTGCAAAAATTTCTACATGTATTAAGCCTTTGCTTAAAAAGTCAACCTTTACCTCCATGACAGATTCGTGGAAAACTTTATTTGTCTCCCAGATTTTGATAACTTTTGTAACCTTCTCTCTGTTCTCTGCAGATTCACTTTGGTGAGAGATTCCCACAATTGAGGGAACTACGTCGCCAAGGGCCTTTTGTAAATCAGTCAGACTTTTTCTTGAGCAGTGGTGACCAACATCGTTGATAAGATACACAATATGCAGCATGTGAGCAAAGTTCTGTTTCTCCCCTGCAACTCTGTGGAATAAAAAATAGGAGTAAAGTTAAAAGCAATACTATGTAGAGTAGCAGAAAAACACTAGTTTGTGACTTGCATCACACGTTTTGTTCCTTATACATTGTTTACATATAAGACACATTATTTGTGTCTGAGTGATGAAAACTTGTCAATCATGATGTTTCCTGCTAAAAAAATTAGAAGAAACAAAGTGCAAAATTTTCAATTAAATACATATGAAATGAAGATGGTGAGAATGAGTCAAGGTCTGGCGATGGCACAGTGGCCAGGATCATGAGCTTCAGCTGCAAGGACCTTGGCTTGGGTCCTTGCCATGAACAAATTTTCACTAACAGTGAGGAAAGTCACTAGCTCTGTGTAAATCTATGCCTAGTTATCATCACGTATGGTCACATTAGGAAGAAGAGCCAGGGTACGTCTTATAACACTAACAGAGGCAAACAGGTTCAGCCCCTTTAATCAAGAATCTTCTCCTCAACTCAGTTGGGACTTAATCTAGTGACACTACCCAAACGTTTCCAATTACCAACAAAATGGATCCATCTAATTAAAGAAACAATCTCAACTTACTTTAGCAGCAAATGCTCAGCTATGTGTCGACAATGCTGGGGTGATTTTGCATTGTTGATTATCCATGTCTTTCCATTCTAACAGTGAAAACAGTTTTAAAACTTTTGAAAGTTCTCTATTAATCTCAAAAGTAGAATGATACAATAAAAATATCACTCTCAAACCAAGAAAAATAAAAACAGGCATGAATTTTGATAGAAAATGATAAATTTTATATATATTTACAACAAATCCAAAATACTACTGGAATACAGCAAAAATATAAAACTGAATAAAAGAAATTGATAAAATGAAAAGAAACAAATATATGTTATACATAGCAATTACTTTACAAAACAATCAATTAAGAAAACCTGACAGTAATTTCACATGTTTTTAACAAATCTAGAACTAAAACTGTTATAAATTTGAAAGCCAACAGTTTTCCATTAGCATCTGAATAAGTACAGGCAACAGCTTTTGGCATGTTTATACAACAGGAAATGACAGTTAAATTAAGGCAGTTGATGTTTTACATAAGTTACCTGTATGTTATCCTTAGTGCAAGAATCCATCAGTTTAGCCAATAAAGCATCAAATTCTGATAAGTTAAGATCACTAGGTGGTTGTGGTTTGGCTTGGATGTGTGCAGTTGGTTGCAGTTCAGCTTGTGGTTGTTGAAATGACTGAAAATTCAATAAAAACCTAAATATGATATTCAGCTTATTGATAACTATAACTACAATATATCAAAATTATGGAAATGAATTTTTCATTTGGTAGGCTAGCACAAATTTCTGTTCCCTTGCTTGTGAACAAAACAAATGACAGAAAACATTCACATAAAACTTATACTTATATGTGTATGTTATCTGTCACTAAAACTTGTATGTCAAAATATGTGTACATATTACATGTAAATAATAACAGGAACGGAAAAAATGGCAAGATTACCCCTTGTTGCCATGAAGGGGCAGGAGCCAGTCCTGGTTGCTGACCAGCTGTATTCTGTTGATGAAGCTCTTGGGCTTTGATTTGTTGGCCTTAAAAGTAACATAATTTATCAAAACTTCAAATTCATCAAGATTAAAGAAACAGAAAATGTTTTTCATGCAATGACAATATAGAAGCATTTTTGGTTGAAAATAGAAATCATGATAAACCTAATAAACATAGAAGATTGTATATATCATAGCAATGCTTACCTCAATAACACAGAAATTTTGCATTATCTACATAACTTTGAAGGTTTGCTTTTGATAAAATATATCATTCTTGAATTTCAAGGTCTGAAGATCTAAAAAAATAACCAAAAATATTCATACCTTCCAAATAAACTTTCCATTTGTAATAGGCATGAAATTCTCCCCCATAAAGAAATTGAAACTTTGGATTCTCTCTTTGCTTCTCTTTGGTTAATTCTTCAAACTGGGGTCCATTTCGGGCAACAAAGTTTGCCAATTTGTCAATAATATTTCTTTGATCTTGATCTTAAAAAGAAATATGTCATTCATCAGAGAAAATTGTGTGTATCCCAAATGCTTTCAGTCCAGATATTAATACCTGTGACCAAAAACTTGTGTGATCAGTGTGATGGCACAAACCAAACTGTTTTTTAACACAAAATAGTGAAGTTTAAAGGAGCACAATGCTACTTTATCGAAGTATGTTCGAGTGCCAACAGTGCCACGAGTGTTCAAGTGCCAGCAAAACAGCGCTGAGAATCCAAATGTTATGAGATAAATTTTCCAAAATAAATTAAATTAAATTAGTACTAATATTTCGCCCCGGCATACAGGGCTTCATTGGAGTAAATGAAACAAACGTTTTGAAATGTGAGATGGTGATACCAGATTGGTGTGAATGCAGCGCAGTGGAGAAAAAATAGGATGGTGGAAGATAATGATAATGATGACTGTGAATATGAATATAAAAAAACAAAAATAATAATGATAATAATTGTGATGGAACTGAGAATAATGAAATTTTGATGATAGCAATGGTGGTGATGATGATTATAATGGTAGGGAAAACATGGTGTGGGTTGTGAGGACGGTGTGATAGGTGATTAGTTGTGTTGTCATTAAGTCCAAGTAATGGTGTAATGGCAAGGTCGTTGATGGTGTGTGCAGGGCTGCAAAAATGTTCTGCAACTCATCTTGTCATCTTTCTTGTTGATAATGTCTCATTGTTAAATCGTTAATTCGTTAAATCTGTCTTTAAGTCCTCTACTAGTTTGTCCGATGTAGTGGCAGTTTTTGTTTCCGTTATGTATATAGTTTTTGCATTGTAATGCATATATGACATTGGTGGAGTTGCAGTCCAGTTGTTGTTTTATGGCGTAGTTTTTTGTCAGTGTTAGAAAAGTTAAATGTTGTAGTCTGTGATATGGTATTTGCTCAAGCTAAACATTTTCATTGGTGTGTAGTCTTGGTTGAAATAGGTAGTAACTAAACTGGGTTCAATGACATTAGTGCATTAGAAGTAAGTTCCCTTTCTGGTGTGTACAGTAAGTCAGACTAATTTTCTATTCCCATTTGAATTTTTCCTTACTTTTTCAAGAAATTAGTTGTATTTTCAAGCAATTTTCAACCATTTTTTACCCCTCTAGAAGGTCTGACTTTACACTATCCAATGATATGAGTGAGACTGATAGAAAGCCTTTCCTTGAGAGGCAGGTTCTAGCCCGCACCTGCACAAACCCTGCGCAAAATAAATTTACGAGGGTTTTTTCTGGCCCGCACAGTTTTTCAAGCCAATGTTCTCATTTAATCTGCTCAGTTTAGCTTCCCAATGTTTGTACCATTTACAACTAAATATCAGGGTGTTAGCAAATTGAGAGAAAAGGTCTTTCATGTCTATGTGATTATCAAATGGTGTTATAAATGGGAGATTTCAGTTTCCTTAATTGCACATGTCAACAAACTATTGTATTATCTGCTAAAACTTGCATTTGAAATGTATTCGCATGAAAGGAATAACATATAGCATGATTAATGTTACAAATAATGAAAGTGAGAAATGTTACACCATGCTGCCGTATAAGAAACCATTTCTATTCAAGTCATTACATATAAACTAGGCATTCCCCAAAAAGACACATTTGACTGGCAAAACCTAACAAAACTTTGCTTTATTCCAAAAAAGGTATGTTTATCTGTTTCTCTTTTGCTTCGTTTTAAGGAGTGGTAAGACAAAATTTCAAGGTAACAATACACACAAAATGCCTTCTTTAGGTGAATAATGCTTAAAGAATTGGAAATTTGTTTGCATGGGAAATAAAATGTGAGCATGCAAAAAAATTTCCAGTCTGGTGACTATATAGTTGTCTAGTCGACATTTTTTCAAAATTCTAATAACAGCATCAAAAACCTTTTCATCTCGAAAAAAATTCACCTTATTTATCATTCACAAGTCACAAAGTAATGCACTTTCTTTTGATTTTTTAAGGTCTGTATAGGACACAGGATAGTACACGTTGATATCAGTAGAAATTTTCAAGTTTTATCTTGTAAAAAGATTCGCCTTATTATCACTGTCATCATTATTGTAAGTCTTTATGTCAGCCTTAACGTAAAATGGTATATATTTGCAAATACTACTAGGTTCGTGTTTGTTTGGACTAGGAATAAAATTAAAAATTGAACTGGAAAATTATTACAAAACCATGGAAAAACATGTGTAGTGCAGTGTTGATAAATTTTTAAAATAATTTCGACATACCTTCGGGTATTATCATATTCACTGCAGATCTGCCACTAAAACACAGCAGCTCATGGCACTTATGCTCCTTTGACTTGCACTCGAATTAGTGAATAGAATCGAGGCTATTTTAAAAGAGTGAGCCTCTTCTAGATCGCATTGGACTGTTCCATGTTTATCTTCAAAAGGAAAGTTGATGACGACACAATACCATTCTCATTTACAACTAGAAGGCAAGCTCTTTGCACTAAATTACAGACCAAATTTTGTTTCGGAGCTGATCACAGCGTTCATTTGAACCTGTTACACAACATAAACCAGAGAGGGCCCAAGAAAACTTTTCATATAGCTAAACGAGCGAAAGTAAAAAAGATGAACCAGATTTCAAGGATTTTGAAGGGTGGCTCAGTGCGGAAAATAAACAGCATATTTTGTAGGAATGCAAGTGCAGCTACTTCGTCAACATCGTCAGTTTTCCAAGACTGTATCCTTTTAGTGACAGAAAGTTATCTTAGGCCTATAGGGCTACTTTATGTATACTATATGTATGCTTGATGAACTAGTTGGAACAGACGCGTTGATATTTGTTAAGTGAAATTTCGACAGTATCTACTAGGAGAAGATTAAGCGTTGCCTGTACCAAACACCATGCAAGCCAAATTAAATGTTATATAATCAGGTGTCAGGTCAGAATCTAGTGCAGTAGGGCAGATTGATTAGAATCTTTAGAGGTGTAATGGCATTCCCCATAACTACTACAAGACACAAGCAAAGACACATGGTCCAATAGGAGGTCAGTCAGGTAACCTGAGCCTTCCACAAGTGCACCACAAGGGCAAAGCCAAATCAATCAGCCTCCTGTCTCAAGATTTCTAGTTTTCCATCATTTTTCTTAAGAGAATGTTTGTTGAATGCAGGCCTGGCCGTTTGAGATGAGCGATAGCACGCGCTTGCCCCCACGCTTCCCTAGCAACCTGAGGTGAGCTATGAATTGCTCTCCTAAACAGAATACGAAGGGAGAATCGCTCCCCTAAAATTTCCATTCATTTGCCCTTTTCCTATTCAGAGAACCCTGAAAACTTACAAGGGTTAATTGGGTTATTTTTGTAACAGCGACTTCTCCCATCATTGCATTTTTTGCAATTAACTTTTTGCTTGTTGGGCAGTTTTAGTTATGATAGGCATGCATGTGATAGGAAAAGGATAGTTAAGCGAAAGGTAGTTTGTAGAGATTAGTACCTTCCAATCTTAAGAAAACAGGCTCATTTTTTAAAGGAAAGTCGATGAAATTGGTAGGAGTTGTAGATTGGGGAATATAATAAAACAGCAGGTCCCTTCCAGCAAACATTTTAAATGATCAACTACAAAAAGGAAAACAAAACACATACCTTTCAAACTTAAGTGTGAACTCGAGTAAATTATTAAAAAGAGTCGAGCTGTTTATGGTTCTTGTTTAAATGTGCATCTGGTGCATATGGAAATGGCAAGTTCATGTGTGAGCTTCAGGAATTATTTTTGTGAGGATTTGATAAAAAACAGATTTTTTTCCTTATATTATGATAAACCAAAGCTAAGTTGTCAAGCTCTGCCCAGATCTGAAGTTTCCTTTACTTTTTGTATCAGTAGCATGCGCAGATGGAAAAAAGAGGCAACCAAAATTTGGTATGTTGCTTTCTCACCTAAATTATTTCTAGAGAACGGTATGCTTTTTCTAGTGTTCTGATATGCTTTTACACTTTCATGTTAATCCTAAATTGTAGTGTTATAGAGTGTCCAGTTGTTGCAACATATGCATAAACATTGTAAAAGCAGTTAAAGCAAGTCATGTTTCATTTAAGAAAATGTTCTTCATAATTATAGAGAATAAGCATAGTTAAAAGTAATGCGGCCCCAATTGTCTGCCCTATCTAAAAATATCATCAAGTCAAGGTTCTGTTCTTTCTATTGGCGCTTCATGTGATCAGGTTCACAGCAGTGAAAAGATCTCAAGAGAGGTTTCCAAACATCAAAAGAGATTGTAGAAAGGATCACCAGGAAAGCTTGGCTTTTATTGAAAGGAAGAATCAGAGTTGGAAGTGGATATGGCTTTATTGGCAACTTTTTTAAATCTTGGTAGTCAACAACAAGAAAATATTTGATAGCTTCTTGAGTAAAACAATCTGGTTTAAACTCAGTGGCTTGCTTTTCTTTTTTTGCATGATTTTTTGGGCTTAGAACCTGAAGTAATTTCCTCCTGGCTTCAAGTCCGCTGTCCCTATTCCTGCTAAATTAGAATTGGTCCCCTTTGCTACCACTGTTGAATTATCCCTCTTTGAACCTTATTTTGGAATAGTTCCAAACTCTTAAGGTATTGATCCAAAGATTATTCTTTGCAGCAAAATTTGATTATTCTGATGCATTGAACTTGGAGTCAAGACTAAATGAAGAGGAAATCATGATAAGGTAATTTTGATGCAAATCCAATTCCTCCAAAGGCAAGCTTATTTATTGGGATTAGGGAATTTTGAATGATTTCAAAAATGCTATATTGTAACTAGGATATTTTTCTTGCTACTGTTTTAATTAAAAACTTAGTACAATAGTTTCCTGCCATGATTTAATTATCTTTTTTTCTCTCCTTGAACCTAGGGACCAAGTGAGGCAGTATTGCCAAGAAAAGTTAATGCCACGAATAACAATGGCAAACAGGCATGAGGGTAAGCATCCAACAAATAAATAATTATAGTTATATATGATTCTTAATTAGTATCCATTATTATTAGTGTAAATAGGCCTTTTTATAAGAAATAGCCCACATGAGTAGCCCAACACTCCTGTGAATTCACATGTGCAAGTGATTGCTCTAGAAATGATAATAATAATCAACAATGCTAAAAGTGTCTGGAATGTTTAAAAAAACCAAATGGTCAAGTTATAAGGTGCTTTTGTGCAAGATGAGCTCTTTACAAAGGCCTTTTTGTTTGATGTGAGGGAATTTAATTTAAGTTTGTGGGGTTTCTGTTTATTCAGTTGATGCTTGTACTTATTAGACATTAATTAACTAAGAGATAATGTATGAAGGGCAGGACTGGGACCTGCAACCAGCAACTGTGTATGGCATTTGCTCTACCTTCCAATTGACCTGGTCATGTTCTTGAATGTAAGCCCAAAGCTGTGCCGCTCGCACCAAGAGACTTAGCTTTTTTGGTTACAAGAAACTACAGCTTGATAATTATGACTTTGAGATCGTTACTGACAACATTGTTTTTGGTTTTGTCCTTATACAAATAAATTTGCATCATCTGCACTTTTTATTCCAGATTTAAAATGCATTTCCTTTGATTTTCTTCTTTTTATCTATCCTAGAGTTTGACAGAAATATTATGCATGAATTCGGAGAGCTTGGTGTCCTCGGATGCATGATTGATGGTTTGTTTGTGTTTTACAGGTTGCTTTTTTTCATGAATGTATTAATTTATTATTAGTCACCATGGAATCTGGTAGAAAGGGTATCAATGTGACAAAAATATTAATAAATAGATTTTGACCCCCAGCTTCCTCTTCATGAACTTTTACCAGTCCTTTGGGACCAATTCGCATGAAGAGATTGACAAAATGACCAAATTATATTTTTCCATCCTTGTGATGTATGCATGCAAAACTTTTATTGTTTTTCCATTTACCAGTTTGTTTGGCAGCTCATAATTGATTTTTTCAGCCTCTACTTAATTGACATTAAAATGCTTCTTAGGTTATGGTTGCTCAGGAGTTTCCTCAGTTACATATGGATTAATTGCAAGAGAAGTTGAAAGGTATGCCTTATATAGTTTCCAACACTTTAAGCTGAATATTGATGGATCGATATTTTAACATTTAAATCCTGTTTGTTGAGTCATAGCACTGACTTTAGTTTAATGGAAATTTGACTCATCTTAATTGGATGAATGGGTAAGCAAGCTACCTGCTATTAGATCTTTGCCCCTTTGTTACTCAGAATTATCATATGCAATTCACAAAAAGGTCTATATCTTGAAATTAATTTTCCATGCTTGGCCCCCTAAACTGAGGGGCAATTCACTCTTGCAAAAAGCGTACAAGATTTTCCCTAAAACAAAAGGATTTCTGGTGATTTCCGGATAAAACAATAGGATTTCCACCAAAGATGTATGAGATTTTTCGGAGTGATTTGCCCCTCATCCTAAACTATCAGATTGACCCACTGTACCTGTAATCTCCCTGGGAAGTTTAGCAAACATTTATAGCTGTATTATTTGAAATGCTAGAGAGAAATTTGTACAAGTGCCAATCCCTTGCATTATCAATTTCAACACTAGCCTTATCACTTTGAGAGGTTTGTTCATAGTGTCAGTTATGATGTATGTTTTCTGCCTAATTTCTAGGGTTGACAGTGCCTATCGTTCAGCAATGAGTGTCCAGTCTTCCCTTGTAATGTACCCAATATACCTTTTTGGAACTGAGGAACAAAGGCAGAAGTTCTTGCCAAAGCTAGGTGAACAATTTTGAATTTCTCTTCATTTCCATGGGCTTGTCTACATTGCATGATATTTTTATTTTCTTCCAATTAGAGCTATGGAAAAGTTTAATCATGTCATCACTATTTTCTATAAAACAGCAATTTGAAGCTTTTAGTGCTTTATATTTGAGAATATGTTACAAAATTCCAACAGAAGAACAGGAAACAGTTTTATCAACATACCTAAAGAAAGGCCTTAGGTTCAATTTTCATTTTTCAAACCTAAGCTAAATCCTAATATCATGTATAATGCATGTATAACAGATTCACACCAATAACAATTATATTATGTTTGATGTGTGTAAACTTTTTACTGCTCACAATGAAAACTGTGACTGCCCTATGACCCCATTATAATTTGCTATCCTTACAAAAGTCTTGTCTTTTAAATTCTCTGCCGGGTAGTAATATAGATTTTTCTTTTGTAGCAACTGGTGAGCTTGTTGGTTGTTTTGGCCTCACTGAGCCAAATCACGGAAGTGACCCTGCTGGTATGGAAACCAAGGCTGTACACAATCCATCAGGAAACAGCTTCATTCTGAATGGTTCAAAACAGTGGTGGGTAGTTATTCCCTAATTTTGCAATAAGTTTGTTCTTGTACACGAAAATCTCGATGCATTTTAATGCATAGGGTTTTTTGCATCTTCAAAATGCTATTTAGATTTGAAGTTTTAATAGCGTGTTTAAGTAAACATCATAATCATTCTTTGAGAGTAGTATTTACAGTGAAGAGTAGTATTTACATCCATAGGGACTTAATGGGTTCTTATTCTGTGTTACTGGGCAATATAACAGCCAAACCAATCAGTTTATCCAGCCTTTAGAAACTGCAAGGAAAAATAAATGCATTCTACCACACAAACTTTGGAAGGTCTGGCTGGCTCACCCTTTACTTGCGGAAGAACTTTACTGCAAAAAAGATTAATAACCAAAATGATTTAACTGTAACCAGAGTTTGCCAATTGAGATATACATTATCTGCTGCTGTAAGCAGTGATTTATTATACAACGTACTACCATTCTCAATAGAAACATTGAATTTGTTTTACCATGTTGACAGGATTACAAATTCACCAATAGCTGATGTTTTCATTGTTTGGGCAAAATGTGAAGACCACAAAATAAGAGGTTTTATTTTGGAAAAGGCAAGCTCCTAGATTTGTTTTACAAACCTAATGTAACTTCTGTTCTTCTAAAAATGATATATGCTTCTTCAGAGGTGGTTTTCTTTGATAAAAAGTTCAACTCTAGCTCATTCATGTGTTATGTATTTAGTTTTCCTAAGATGGTTTATTTCAAAAAGGTATGTTCCGCCAGATTTGTGGAAGACTGTCACCTGCCTGCAGAGTTTACTATTGCAAAAATATCTGATTAACAATCAAATACAGTTTTTTGTTCGTACAAAATCAAAAAGTGGCGTTAGAAAAACCAAAAGTCTTGAGGTATGTGAAAGCAATTGTTTTATTTTAATATCTGAACAAGTGAGTTTTATTGAATGAATTTTTTTATTGATTATTCAGGGAATGCCCGGTTTATCAGCTCCATTAATCGAGGGAAAATTCTCATTGAGAGCATCAAAAACTGGATCAATAGTTATGGAGGATGTTGAGGTCCCTGAAGAAAACTTGTTACCTAATGTTGAAGGTTTAAAGGTAGCTTTTTTTCTCATTTCCTTTTATCTGTTTTTTCACCGTTTAACTGTGAACTGAGCTAACTTTTGTTAATAATTTTTGCACGTTTATACTTCTCGCACTGGTCCATGTATCTGGTTTCTTTTCTTGTTTGGCCTTTTTAATCAATTTAAAACAAGAAGTTTTGTTATCTTGATTGGACTAAAGATTTTAAAGCGTTAGAAATGTAATTTGAAATTTGAAAATGTTTAGAAATTGTTAATAATGATGTATTACCTACATTTTCCATTTATTGGGAATTTGAAAAGAATAATGTTTTTTCTCAAGGGTCCTTTCCACTGCCTTACAAGCGCACGATTTGGAATAGCATGGGGTGTGCTTGGTGCTGCCGAGTTTTGTCTTGAGACGGCAAGACAGTACACCCTTGACAGGTAAAATACCTTTACCTTAGTCACTCTGTAAATTCTAATGCTAGCTCCATTCCTCTGAAGTCGCAGCGTAAAACAAATTTTCATACGAGGGCAACGAAGACAACATTAGATAAGCGGCAAGAAAACAGTGAACTATAGGAGACAATTATTAACTTTCTTTGTGACACAACCAGAAAGATACCATTTTCGATTTACCGACAATCCAGGATAGACTAAACCATTATGTGAAGAACGTTTCGAGACGAACCTGTCCCATATTGAGCAAATCCAGGGAAACAAAAGGGGAAGGGGTTGAACATCGAATAAACAAGATAACGATAATTGTTATGAATAACAACAATTCCTGATCAGTTCAACATCTGTGTTTCACGAAATTAAATCTGTTCAAAAGGTTTCTATATGCATTTTTCGCCCTCAGCACTTTTCAGCTTTGCTGTGATGAAAATGTGAAGAAATATTTACTCGAATGCACAATCATAAAGTAATTCATATTTATTATTACTAAAGATAACAATTTCTGTTTTAAGGCGACAGTTTGGTAGGCCATTAGCCCAGAATCAGCTGATGCAAAAGAAAATGGCTGATATGACAACCGAGGTAAAGTATTTCAGTTTGATATCATTTTTGTAGCCAATATATATTCCGTCGCTATTTTTCGTGTCTCATTATTTAATGACAGTTAGCCCCATAATGTTTATCCTGAGATAATGTGTGCGTTAAGAATTTACATTTGTTTTATTGTAGATTTCAATTGGACTACTATCATGCTTGCAAGTAGGAAGACTAAAGGATGAGGGAAAGTAGGGATTTTAACAATTTGATGTACTGCTTATCTTAATTTTATTACAAGAAAAGGATATGAGCAGTGGCGGACACTTGGGGGGGCGAGGGGGGGGCGATCGCCCCCCAATACTTTAGAGAACAATGGTCTTTTGTTCTAAAACAATGGGAAATGTGACGTCATCTTATTAAAACAATAGGCTTGCCCCCCCCCAATATTTGACCAAGTGTCCGCCCCTGGATATGAGAAAGTATGCCTAGGGAACATGTGACCAAGAGACGTGACCATACAGTGTCAATGCAGTGTCAATGATCCCCTGGCCGTGCTACTCCCTCTTAGTTTCTTTTACAATCTTTATTTCATCAGAAAATGGTAAACCTTTTGTTTTAGCAACATTTTCTTTTTTTTTTCGATTTTTCAAACTGGTTGTCTTTCTCTCTTTGAATGGGCTATTTTGTTGTATCCGAGGGGCAAATCACTCTAAGAAAATCTCGTACACCTTTTGTAAAAATCTTATTGTTTTATCTGAAAATCCCTAAAAATCCTTTTGTTTTAGGGAAAATCTCGTACGCTATTTGCAAGAGTGAATCGCCTCTCGCTTGTATCAATGCCTCAATTTTCAACCATTGCATTAATTAAGCAAGTTTTGCTTTTGTATTTACGATAGTAACGTCTAATTTACCTTATTGACGTCTTTGTAGACTCAGCACTGAAATGATTTCACTGGTCAAGAGAAATTCGTGTGGAAAAGCAATTGATATTGCTAGAATGTCACGTGACATGCTTGGAGGTAGGATGAATCACTGTACTTTTTAATTTCAACCAGCCAGTTAAAATCAACGCAGCTCTAGATTTGTTGTTTTTTACCATTTCTTGACGGTTTATGCTAACGATCCTACAGTTGTTTCAAACATCTAAGTGAAAATTTCAAACTTGTTTCACGATCACCGAAAAAGTTCAGATTAAGGATTTTGTAAGACACATTGCTTCATATATTATCAAAGCTACATAGACATGATTCGGAAGCGTTTCAGCAATCTTTGACTGATGCGTCAGCTTGATAGGAAAATTACTGAAGACAAACCAGACTGGTAAGAAGTAGGACGATGCACAATTTACAAAGCTATAGGAAACATTGTTATGTATCAAAATACCACGTTTTTGATACTCATTCTTTTGTCTCGACTAAGTGTAAATCTCACAGGCTCATTCAATAATCAACAATTGTCCCTTCCCTTGCTCTTCTTTTCTGCTTTGACATTTCCTCTGCAATTCCCCTACACAGATTTAATACTAGTGACCGAACACGAACGAGACTGTATATACAACAACGTGCCATTGACTTTACCCATTTAGAGGAGCGCTTGTAATTTAAGAAGATCATTGAACTTAGGAGTGGGGGGGGGGGGTATGCAGGAATAATTCTGGGGGTATGTGTTTATAATGCGTTTATTAGGAAGGGCTGTAAACTGTGGGTTCCCATTGTTGCTTATATTAACTCCAGTAGCTTATCAATACTCCAGCCGCTATCTGAGCCTGGAAAATTTTGTCGAAGAAATCACGTTTGGCTGTATTCTGTCTTGTTTTGGTAATTTCTTGTTATGTAAAGATATTTTGATTCCTCGTAGGAAATGGAATATCAGATGAATATCATGTTATACGCCATGTAATGAATTTGGAAGCTGTGAATACTTATGAAGGTAACGAATTTTTTAATAAATAACTTGATGCACAACGTCACCTTTCAAGCGATATTACTCAGATTTGATGCTGAAAAGAATAATCATGCCTCCCCCGCGTGCAGTGATTTTAAGCTAAATGTGAATGTGATTTGTGTCCCCACCCGTGAATGCGATATTAAAGTCTTTTTAGAGAAAAACCCTTACTAGTTTTCTATTTTGAGTCTGTAAGTTGAATCTGGTTTTATAAACACCTAGTCTCAACAAGAGACTTCAAAGGCAATTCGTTTTTTTAAGAATTACAAATGGCTCGAGCTGCTACAAAATCATCCTGTTTTAATTATTGGGGCCCTACCCTTTGACCCCTTTAACAAATGGGCGCTAACTTGTACTGACCCCTCGCAAAATTCCCCAGTTCTTCGTACAATTTTAAATATTCTTTCGCGAGGTGGTCACAATACAGCTTCTTTCTATATAAACCCTATTTTCTTAATATTTAATTGCTCCTCTTCCAGGAACCCACGATATCCATGCATTAATTTTGGGCCGTGCAATTACTGGACTGCAGAGTTTCATGTAATTAATTTTCGTCAATGGGCTGTTGTATTGTCGTGTGGAACCAAGCAGTTATAGTAATGCTCCTGAAATCTAGGCCATTCATTCAAACAATTCTCTTTAAAAGTCTGAAAAGTCCGGTACTCAAAACACATCACACATCCACTCTGTAGTATTCTATTTATATCGACAAAAGCTCGGGAAGTGTTTCTTTTGCTCAGCATTGTATTCAAAATTGTTTTATTCCTAAATTAGAAGAACAGCACGTATTTTGTAGAAATCGGTATAGTGTGTAAAGTGAATTTTGTTATAGGTAAAACCACAAGTTTTTGCTATTTCTTTTTGACTAATTTCTTAAATGGTCTGCTCAACCTTAAATTACAAATAGTGTGAATTTAGCGATATGAAGAATAAAATCACTTTGAAGTAACTTTTCGCTGTTTTTGCTTTATTTTATCTAATTTATTTAAACGTTTAATTTTGGTGTTGAGTATTATGTCAGGAATGATTTTGTGTTCTTTGAAGGTTTCTAACCAGTTTGATGACAAACGAAATCTCTGCAATCTGGCCAATAAGTTATGAATCGTTCTTAATATTAGTTTCCAAAGTTTAAAGGATTATTTCAAATTTTATTTGAAAATTTTTTTTATTGATTTATGAGATCAGATTTTGCGAACTCGCGTTTAAATTTTAAGCAAAACATTTTTAGTGTTACTAACGTTCTGAAATGTTCAAGAGCGATTAAGACTCAAACTTCGCAAATGTGGTTGCTTTTGCAGTCACGATTTTGAGTGTGCTAAGGTCAACGCAAGCTTGCACGCTTAGTCAAAAGTTTAAAGTCGTATTTTAAGACCCTTTTGCTTTCACTGTTGCAATATTGAAATAAAACCAGTCAGAAAACCAGGAAAACATGCTATCATCGCAGGTGTTACAATCTCAATGCTTGGTTTATGAGATATCTTGAAATTCAGGGCAGTGTATTTCGGAACCGAAGTACTTGACTATCCAACGAAAAGTTCCACTCGGCGTGTATGTTTTTATCTGACTCTTAACAAGTTAACAAAAGCCAAGGATTGTATCTATAAAAAATCAACTCACCAAACTTGGTTTCAAGGTTTAAGTATATAAAGTCACCCCATAACTATCAGCAACGTGCTTCTGAACATCCAACTGTAAAACTAAATTTCTAAACAAACGTGTTCCAAGCAATTTGACTGGATTTGAACTTGATACCACCCAGGGTAAAAGCACGCGTATTTGGGTCCACTATTGACACGTTGCATTTTGAAACGTTTTATTTCATTTCCCCTGGGCTTTATTTCAGTCAGTTTCTGTAACTTTCAAATTCTTTAGAACAATTACTAGCTTCTCTAGAAACTAATTTGTTTACAAGGCAGCCTGTAGAGAAAGTGGAAGTTGCTCAGAATAAGGACGAGTTGTCGTCATTAAAAATGTTTCTGTACAAGCAAATGTTCATCATCGCAACTTCGTCTTTCATAATTCACAAAAGCGCAGAATTGTTTTTCAAAAATCTCATTGCATGAATGCTGCATTATTTCCTTATATATGTAGAGGTACTTTCGTCTGGTTTTACTTTGGAAAATCTGTACTCTATAAAGTTGCAGTTGCCACTACAGGTGTATTATCATTCCCAGGCCAAAGTATTCTGCCGACAGGTCAGGTACCCCGTGTTAAATGGAGACAAAAAGGGTGTTGATACTCTAGGTTCAAGTAGTGTAACTAGCAGAAAATTGTGACTGGTGGGGGGGGGGTATTTCTAGGGCCTTCCCTCTTTTAAGGCCTAGCACCTTTGATTTCTAACTCCAAATGGTCTACATCATTATCGTCATAATTTCGATCAGAAAAGTAGACATCAAACATACTTCTTTCTGCTTTTCGTAGACGAAGTATTATCCGATTCATGTCTTTTAATGAAATTATTGTACAAAGCGATTCTGATTATGGGATAATTCACAAAAAACAGACTTGCTGAAATGATATTTTTATTAGTACAAACGTAATAAATATTTCTATAATACAATGAACCAATCAAGAAATATCATGCTAAACACCAAACGGGTTACAAGGCACCGTATTATTTGACAAACACCAGATTTTACGAAATTTCAAGAAGCTTAAAAATACAATAGTCAATTTCAAAACTAATTCATATCAATAATATTGCTATTTTTAAAGTTAGGAACACAATTCAATTCAAATTCTCAACTATTTTATGTTATAGTAAACTACGGGAATTCGTACATTAAGCATCGACAATTTATAACCCAAGAAGCGATGGGTTTTACAGACAAAAAAGCTAACAAAATGGAGTACAGAGCTTTTCTGAAAGCCCGTCATTAACTTGATGCAAAAAGGAATCATGAAAATAATTAAACAGTGCAAGGTTGGGAGGGCATACAACTCTATCTCATAAGCTAAGAGGTAAAATGTTTCTCCATGGTTTATATGGAAGAATTAAGAGTAACTATTTCGAGATTGTTCACCTTTGAATAAACAAACAAGTTAACAGTGCTATAGTCTGGAATGTCCTGGAAAATGGAACTAAAGGAAACAATAACGGAAAATATTCTTTGCGAAAGAAAGAATATCTAGGCCACTAGCAAATTGGCCTTACAAAATTTAAATGGAGAAAGCAGTGTGATTAAATGGAAAGGAAAGCTTTGTAAAATATACAAAACGTACAATCAATGAAAACTACGAAAAAGCAATATTGAAACAATTTACAATAAAGAAACAGAAGTAACAAACAAACCTTTAGATGGAAAACTGGAAAAAAAGGTTCAACAAAAATACATGATCCTAGAAAAAGAATCATTTTGCAGAAATGTCTTTAGGGTGTTCTCACAGTTTCTTCTGACTTCTTGTAACCTGCCAAGGACAATTTCTCAAAGTTTTGCTTAGTCAAAGCTGGGTCTTCGATCGGATTTTCAGCGCATCGCACCTCTCTCAGCTTCTCTTCCTTTCTCTTTAAATGTTCTGCACGCCTTCTGGCAAGACTTGATTTTCCTGGAGGTGAAAGGCCAAAACCGGCCTTAGGCCAGCTAGTCTCGTTGATGATATCTGTGAACGACTCTTTCTGTTCATCCTTTTTCTGTTGTGATTGGATACGACTGTACGCAAGAACCTCGGTGCTCATCAGGGAAAATGGGTCGAGTTGGTTGTCCTTATTTGGAACGCTTAAATTGTAAATGCAGTATAATAAACACACTTGTGCGCAAATAGGCTACAACGGTTTACATTTCAAATGAGTATCATTTCATTTAAGTTTAATGCTATAGGGAGGGGAAACACACCAGAAAAACTACTGTTCATTGGCGCAACGTTATGCAACAGAGTTGCTAAATATCAACCTTATATGTTTTGATTTTCTCCTTAAATGTCTAATGACAATAAAAAACAATGATAAAGGTAGCGAGGAAGTTAAAGAAAATGGCTTCAACTTCCAGAGCTCCTTCTGCACCTATTAAAGGACGTAACCGCCAAAGCTCTCTTTGCGCATTCAAATTTTGTTCAAAAACAAAGAAAAAGAATGTCGCCCCCTCCCTCGCCCCCCGCCCAAGTGTCCGCCACTGACCAAGGCAGAAGAGTAATTGTTAGCAAAAGAAACTTACCCCAAAACAGTTGGAGTTCTTAGAATGACATCCTTGGCACCCTAAAAAACAAGAAAGGAAGTTAGAAACATTCATTTGAAACCATGTCATATTGATCAAGGTCATCCAAAAATGCATTGTTCCTAACTAAAACACTTTTCTTAAGTGAGCGTCGTATCAACCAGATGCATATTCAAGGGGTTCCTTTTTTATGCGTGCATATTGTAACAGGGTGACAAAGAGGTGACATCATCAAAATATTTTTACAATGATCAACAGGTTGGAATAGTGGCCCTTTATGATGTCTACCAGGTTATACGATCAGAATTCAAAAATCTCCAAAAAAGAATCTTTAAAACATCAAAACTTAACCACTTTAGCCGTGCATAAATTTTGTACCTCTATGGGTCCGCTGACATGGTCTGTCACTAAATCTCCTAAAAATGGTTCCGAACAAATTTTTGTTGGTATCAACCAAACCTTTGAACCATGTATGGAGAATGTGTGTAAAGAGTAGCGATTAAGACATGTGTCTCAGAACCAAAGCCACACATGGAATTTGGGCCATCGAGATGATCAGTTCGAGAATGTAGTGAATTGCAAGCAAGATCTTACATCTACATCTTATAGTTAGGTAATGCCTCAACAAAAAACGGAGAAAGGCGGCTCTAATTAAAAATCATAAAAACCTCAAAAACTAGAAGATTTCAAAGGCAAAACTTTGGCAGGAATTAACGCTTAACAACAATGAAATGAAGAAAACGAAGATTGAAATTGAAAGAACAAAATCGCATTAGGAGAAACTTGTACTGCTAAGAGAATCTATGACACTCGATCAACGCAAAGCAAACGAGCTGTCATGTATGAAAGGTGCGTCTTCATGGCTCACTTCTCTTCCTTTGAAGGCCAAAAAATTCTGTTCTCAATAAACGTGAATTCCACGACGCAATCCGATTGAGATAAAGATGGCATTTAAAGTTCGTGCCAGCTATTTGCGGGTGCGGAAAACACTTTTCCGTGGACCATGCGATGTTTTGTGAAAAAGGTGGATACATCAGAAATTACAAACAGAAATTTCTAATGATGTTAGAATTCAGCCACCTCTACAACATCTCAGTGGTGAAAATCTCCCAAAGAATTCCAACATATCAGAAGTGGCAAGGCTTGACATCAGTGAACGTGGCTTCTGGCAAAAGGAACAAAGTGCATTTTTTGCTGTAAAAGTATTCAACCCATTCGCACCGTCGTACAGAAACCAGAAGCTAGACAACACTTTTGCAAGGAATGAAAGAGAGAAGAAACGTGCGTACAGTCAAAGGGTTTTACAAGTTGAGCATGGTTCTTTTACGCCATTCATTTTCGCTCACAGGGGTGAAAAGTTTAGTTCCGTTTTATCTATGAAGATTTCAGAGAAACGTGATCTGCCAATTTCACTGATGACAAATTGGATTCGCACAAACCTATTTGCACTTCTTCGTAGTGTCATACTGTGCATTCATGTGTCTAGGAACAGGCGAACAAAGGTTGAAGTGGACACAGCCAACATAGAAATTGTAGAAACAATATCCCGGATTGATTAAGCAAAATTAACGGGGGAAAAATTCAAGAGCGCCAAATGTTGTAACATTATTGATACTCCAAAAAAATTCTACCAACACTCTTATGACTATCTTAAAAAAGGCTGACAAGGCCTTACCTCAGCAACCCAAGGATGACGCAACACCTGCTCCGTAGTCAATCTCTTCGATGCATTTTTCACGAGTAGCTTCGACACCAAATCCTTGGCTTCATCTGAAATGTACTCCCACTCCTTGTCATGGAACTGGAATTCCCCTTTCTTAATGCTGTTCCAGAGGGTTCGTTGACACTCGTAGCAAGACCCTCCTTTCTCCCATTCACAATCTTCTCCGCAATTCCCAACAAAAGGGGGTTTCCCGCACAACATAATGTATCTAAAAAGGTATTTTTAGGACAATTGAAAATAACAAAAATTTCCAGGAAATTGTTTTCTAACATGAAAAGTGGTTTTTGTCAGAGCTTTAAACGTCTACCCATGTGTTATTGTGCTAGATTTGTCACAAAGTGGCCAAAGACAGCTGATATAAAAAATTACATGAAAGGTTATGATTGAATGAATATCGTGAATTGGTAATTGGCTACTGATAGAGTTGAATGACTTTGAATGAAGAAAGTATATTAATCGCATTTTTCCTCTTTTGTGTTTGGATTTATTTTTATCTATTAGGCAACCTGATTACGTCTAGGGTATTTTAGAATCATCTGGTTGTTTGTATTTGTTGTTATGGTATTTAGTACGTAGATGATAAATATTTAGCTGGAGGCGTGTGTGTAACCTAGCGACATAGGGCCAACAGCGCCATATGATGTAATCCTTAGTGATGTAATGTAGCTAAATTAATCCTTTATATCGCTATATATTCAGTAGGAATTCGTTTCAGACTTCATTCGGTCGAGAGACACCATAGGCTCTATTTTAGATGCTACCTATGCTAGGGTAAAATCTACATGTGAGTAAAATCTATGTCACTCTAGACTATGATATCTATACAGTCTCTATTCGATTTACCTAATACAGTCCTCTTAAGTTAATCAATTGTTTTTTTCTAACGAGTTTTAATCTAACGGGTAGTCAGAAGTTAGGCTGGCTAAGCAATTTCTGACATTTTGACCCACCGAGCCGGATATAAGGAACTACAAAGGAATGAGATGTCTCAACATCAAGAAAATCAAGAACTACAACAACGAGAAGAGTCTGAGCAGAGAGAACAAGAAGAAATCTACCCGCAATCACCAGCAATGATGTTTGGTATCAAGACCCCTGAGATCTTACTAGATGAGAGCCGAAAAATGCGAGATGTGGCGAAACAGACGTTGGACCTATTTCTAGATACAGTGGACGACGTTTTCCAGCGAAACCGGCCATCAGAGTTAAGAAGAACGAAGAAACGAATCGAAGAGAAGCTAGTTTCGTTGAAGAAACTGAATCAACAAATCAGTGAGTACATGATACAGATGGGTGTGTCTTGCGAAGAGGTGGCTCAGTTCAACTTCAGAAGCGAATCCGATTTGGACGCACACGAAGACACGATCGCAGACATCGAAGACGCACTACAGAGACTTGAAAAGAAGAAAGCACCAGAAATCAGAACTAACGTGGTGGCCCAACAGAATGCCAAGCTTCCAAAGCTGCAGATCAACGCATACGCTGGAGAACCTTTGAAGTGGAGGGAATTCTGGGAACAGTTCAAAAACAATATCCATTCAAGTTCTTTGGAAGCTACAACGAAATTCTCATACTTGAGAGAACTACTGATTGGTAAAGCATCTGCTGTCATCAGAGGGTTGTCCCTATCAGCTGAAAACTACGAAGTGGCTATTGATCTACTCCAACAAGAATTCGGAGATGATACAAGACTAAGAAGTGCGCACATAAAGGCCATTCGAGAAGTCCAGCCAGTCGCCAACGCCCACCATCTGAAACAACTGAGGAGATTCTACGAAGATGTTTCGATCAACTTTGCCTCCTTGAGATCCATGGGGTACGAAGCACAAGTGATGTGTCTGGTGGAAGAAACCGTGATGAAGTTGCCACGCCCTATTCGATACGAGCTGACGAAAGATGACAGAAGTTGGACGAAATGGGATTTCACCAGATTCTTAGAAAGGTTGTGGATCTACCTGAAGACGTGTGAAGAAATCGAGCCAACAGAGACGTTAAGATTTGAACCATCATCATCAAGACGGCAAGTGGTGAATACGACAATAACAACACGGGTGAATGAATGCGTTTACTGCAAGGGTAGCCATAAAGCCTTCGAATGTACCAACGTCAGTAGTGTGGCGGAAAGAAAATCAATCCTTCAGAACCAGAAGCGGTGTTTCAATTGCACAAGAAACAACCACACCCTCAGAGAATGCAAAAGCCGGAATCTATGCTATCACTGCAAAGGCAAACACCATTCCTCGATTTGTCTCAGATCTGAAGCCAGCCGACCTTCCGCTGAAGCGATCCCAGGCACCACAAGAGCCCCAACTAGAGATCATAATGGACATATACAGAGTGGTCCAGCAGCCTATCAGACGGTCATTGCCAAAGTCGGAGGCCAAAGGTGTCGCATTCTACTCGATGGAGGAAGTGGCAAGTCATATATCAGCAGAGAGCATGGCAGGAAAATAGCAGGAAACCCAGTTCGCACCGAAATTCGAATCATTGGCACAGTAAACGGGGAAAAAGAGGTAAAGTGCCCAGTCTACAACCTTGAAGTTGCTGGAGTTGGCAAGGCAAATGGAAACAGATTCTCAACAGAATTCGCGGAGTTGGATCTTTACATGCTAACCTCGGTTCCGAACGCTCATCCAGAAAAACAGAGGCAGAAGTTTGCTCATCTAGAAGGAATATGGTTCTCAGATGTATCCCAAGAAGACAGCCTACCGATCCATGCCATACTTGGAGTGAGAGACTATGCCCACATCAGAACTGGAAAAATGATCAAGGGAAATGATAACGAACCGATGGCCGAAGAAACCATACTGGGATGGACTCTAATGGGAGCGATTCAAGACCAGCAGTCGAACGCAAAACAGTCGGTGGCAAACCTGATGATCGAGCAGCCGAGATCCGTCCACGACGAATTCAGACAGCTCTATGACTTGGATGTTCTCGGCATTAAAGATAGCGGTGAAGATGTCTTTGAAGAGTTTAAAGACAGCATCTCAAGGGATGAGGAAGGCAGATACTCAGTGAAGCTTCCTTGGAAGAAGGGGAACTTTTTCTTGCCCAGCAACAAACAGATGTGTCAGGCACGATTGACAGGACAGCTCAAGAAACTGAAGAAATCGCCAGAAGATTTGAAGACATATGATGACGTCATTCAGCAACAGTTGAAAGACGGTATAGTAGAGCCTGTACCAGAAAACCCAGATGGCAAGCATGTCCATTACCTACCACACCACGCAGTGATCCGTAGAGAAGCTGAGACGACAAAGTTAAGAATTGTGTATGACTGCTCAGCGAAAGAACGCAAGTATGACAAGTCAATGAACGACTGCCTTCACATTGGACCTCCTCTACAGCCGCTCCTTTACGACATCTTAATCAGGTTCTTTCCAGGTTACGGATGTATTCCAGCTGTTCACTGACCTGGGGACATTCCTCAACAGACATTTGTTGCAAACTCAAAAGGTCTGACTCATAAGCTATCAAAGAACCAGGACCACGTCGACGACACGCCCCCGCTATGAGATTCCCTGTCGCGCCTAAACATGTTTCGAAGGCAGATGTCATGAGCCAACTTCAAGAATTGCGCTTCACCCGAGTGTATCTTGGCTTTTTCAGGCCCAGCCCTTTCCTTCTTGGTTTTGCTACCATCAGACAGACATTGGGAGCATATACAAAGGGCACGAAGCGAGCCCTGAAATTTGACTTGACTTTCGTGTCACAAGGGCCCCTATGATTCTGTAGCGCACTGGATTACACTACAGCTCCCTACTAGGAGCCAAACTGGTCATGTGAGAGAGCAAATACAGATGAAGTCAGCAGATTGAAGCAAGAAATCTGATCGCAAAGAATTTAAAACCACGGTCACTCAACATGAGGAAATGTGAAGTCAAATGATGTCAAAAACTGACGAGGATTCCAAACTACCATTTCCGAACATCAAGACGTACAGCCGAAGAGACTGCGATGTCAACCACGGGAATGGCCAGCACCAGCCAGGAACAATGCAAAAAAAGAGAAGGTCTTGGGAGTCGCTTGGAATCAAATAAACACCGACGTCTATGGCGTGTCAAGCTTCGAGAAAAAAAAAATAAAAAAAAAAAAAAAGAGAAACAATAGAGAGAAAAAAACAAACTTACAAAAAAAAAAACCACGGAATACAATCCAAGAGCACCTACAATAAAAAAAAAAAAAAAAAAAAAAAAAAAAAAAAAAAAAAAAGAAAATAAAAGATAAAAAAAAAAAAAATAAAAAAAAAAAAAAAAAAAAAAAAAAGAAATAAAAAACAGACGAATCACAAAGAACTCAAAGAAAAAAAAAAACAAAAAAAAAACTAAAAACAAACAAAAAGAAACCCATAGAAAATGTCTCAACACATGGAACGATGAACCTACCCAGCAACGAGTAATTATCAAGCATCAGACCGTAGGCCAGCTGATCTACGAGTCCCAAATATTTGAAGTCAGCAAGCCCCATCCTTATCTTGGCAAGATCACTCCACTCAGAAACTACTCCAAGGCCAGACAGTTTACCATGAGTTGTATGCGTAAAAAGGATATGGGTAATGGAGGAATGGAGAGATAGCCTTCCAGTCAACTACTTTACTCACAACGGTGGAAGAAGAGGCTGGCGAATTGAAGATCACCCATTTTCACATCATAGATGTTAATTGCACACCCACAAAACGAATTGAAAGCATCGAGAAATCCACGGATTCGCAGTATCGAGGTAGTAAGTAGCATGCTGTGCAGTGATCTATCTTTGTAAGATTACCACAATGTCAACTGTAGAACTTATGTGAAGCAAGCTCACAGCGAAGGCAAGAGCTATCGCCAAACACAGAACCAACAACACACTACAACCTCCCCTTACCGGTACCAAGATCCTGTAATTGACTAAAATCGGGTAGCCCAGATGCTAACCAAATTGTATGTCCAGAACGGTGAAATCAGTATTTGGAACTCGATTGTATCAGCAGATTAACCTATGGATGGCGGATAGTCAAACGCTTACTTATGCCTGGCCCACATCCACGATTAAAACTCGAATCGTGGTGGAGATGGAGATGACGTACTGCTCTCCTCTCGATCGCTCAGATTCTGGCCTGCAGAGGGTGAAACTGGTGTACTGCCTACTGAGTTCAACCAGCAGGACCCATTTAAGGAACGAGGAGGAACACTGCCAAGCTAAACAACGTACAGCATTGTGACATAA